AACATACTCACCGCCTTACTTGTTATTGCAACCATTCTGGTTTCCACTACAATTGCACAGCAACGTGATGGGCAATTTGGCTGGTGCTTAAATGGGGCAGCGGATCCTGCTCTTGAAGTCAATGAACCTTCGTCCTAAGCCCTAGGTTTCGAGCAAGAACGGCTTTTTCTTCGCATATCAGTGAGACATGCCATCTGCTCTATTGGAGGCCTTGGCTTTAACAGGTACAGTTCATGCCCAGTCTGTAGCAGTGCTACAGCGGCAGAACACGCACGACAGGTGGGGTGAAACATCTCTAGAACAGGAGATCATCTATCCTGATCCAAAAGGTCAGAAGGCTCAACAAGCCTGGCCAGCAAGTTGCTGGACGTCCTCCATGCAGCTCCTCATTCTCAATCCACATGAAACTGAGAACCTTCTGCACAGTTGACTGATTAAATACAAGTTCAACAATCAATAGTAGCTGTCGACACTGATGTGGCTGTATGGATAGCCCCACTTGCGATTGAAGCAGTGACGCTCTTGCATTAGGTCCGGGAAAAATTTTGCAAGCGCCGATGTGTTTTTTCCTGAGTTGTTTTGGAATGGTTCTCCTCTCGCTAAAGTTTAGCCCTTAAAGTCTTTGTTTTGCTCTTCCTGGACCTTGAGCCGTGTCCTTTGGACCTAGTCGTCACTACTCTCGGCTTCACGGAGACCTGCAGCTTGCGCAGTTGCCCAAAGCATTTCGCTGAGGCGGCGCGTGCGACGCGCGAAGAGATATGACAAACCATGATCGATCGAATTGAATACCATGCACCACCTGCTTCTTGTCCACAGCGGGAAAGAGAAGAGGCTCGAGGCGCTCGAGTGTGTGAAGTGTACCAGTGCTTTGGAGACTGCTGTCATTTGGTCTGTGCTTCCGGAATCCACCGGAAGAAACCACCAGGGAAACCTTAATAGCTTCTTGTTACTAGTAGCGATGCCCTTTGTTGCTAGTAGCGTCCTTCCTCCTAGTAGTGATGCCAGGAGCTACTAGTCACTAGTCCTTGGGGTGCTTGGGGGCGCACCTTGGTGAAAGAGGCCACTCAGCGGCCGCCATCCGAACGCCTCACAAGCGCAAAACTGGCCAATAAAAGCTGCTGTGGGAGTCAGCTCAGGATGCAGCGTTGATCTCTTCACGTTGAAAGCTTGGGAATCCCTGACAAAAGCTTACGCATTGATTTTGCGTAAGAAGTCCCACCTTTCTCATCTCTCATCTTGCAACTCAGGTGGGCACTTTGCTTCCCAGAAATCAAGGCCTGAACAGCGCATCTCAGCTCCAGTCGCATCACACAAAGTACAACAAGCCAGGAGCTTCTAGTAGCGTCCTTGCTACTAGTAGCCATGCCCTTTGCTACTAGTAGCTTCTTGCTCCTAGTAGTGATGCGAGGAGCTACTAGTTGCGCCCCTCCCACAAGCAAAGCTTCTCTGTGGCGCTAACGGAGTGCCAGCAGCCTGCATGCTGTGCCAAACCACATGGTGCGGGAACTTGTCTGGCTGCTTTCTCATGACTCTTGGTTTGAGCATCCTTGAGGTGCCCGTTGGACATCTCCAACACCATTCTTGGAACATCATGCACCGTCACATAACTAGCCCCTCTCTCTCTCTCTCTCTCCCTCCCTTCCTCCCTCCCTCACTCCCTCCCTCCCCCTCTCTCTCGGTCGGATGTATTTTGGGTCAACGCACCTTTGGGGATGGCTTTGGCTTTTCAGACCTGGGAGTTCTTCCGCGAAGGAAATCGGAGGTAAACTTAGATTCTGAGCTCCCAACACACTTGTCTTGACCCCATCCGGGGGGGTGGATGGCCTTTGGTGAATATCAGGCAACTTCTCCCCCTCCTTTGTCTCCCCGCCGTTCCTGGAGTCACAGTCTCATATAGGATTGGTTCAGCTTCAGCAGCTCAAGCTCAAGCGCAAAGCTAGGTCTCAAGCTCATCAGTTGCACCATTCAGCTCCTGGCAATACTTTGCACAGAGTTTGATTGCACTGAAGATTAATAGACTTGTTATGGCGCCTCACTACAATGCTTTGGTCGGCCTAAACCGGTTGGAGCGAGTATCAACGACTTGTGAGAATTTCATGAAACCATGCATGGTAACTGAGCAAGCACGATGTGAGGTCTACCCCCAAAAAATAAGAAACGTAGAAAGTATGTTTGAGCGCTCCGATGTCTTCTTCTTCTGCAAGTTTGGAGCCTGGCAATTCCACATGATCCATCCAAACAGAAAAAGCAGGTCGGCGTGTTCCCTTATGGCCGTATACATTTTCGTCGACTGGGGCTCCAGCACTCCCGCTTTTCGTCATGGCCTGCACTTCGTCACAAATGCTTGGGGAAAAACACGGTCCAAACTTCACAGTTTCAAAATGTCCACATAAAGAAGAGTGCATTTCTACTAGGAGCAAGGACGCTACTAATAGCTCCTGGCCTTACTACTAGAAACAAGAAAAGATGTCCACATGTGTGTGTCCATAGGGGATGCTTTAGGGATTCTATGGGGTTCTTCTGCAACGAGTTCCATTCCAGCTTCCTAGATAGTGCCTGCTTCATCTTTGCTTCACTTGCCTTGGCCGCTGTCACACGCCTGCGCCAATCATGAAATTGCAGTCTTAACAGTTGCCACTGGCTGCACCGCCAAAATAGACTCTTTCGCTCTGTTTCTCAGATTGCCATCAACGCCTCATTAGATTCGGCCCTGGTTCAGCCCTGCAGCCCGCCCCTTTGGGGCATGGGCTCAACTTCGGTGTGGATCACACCGTATTGGGAATCATCTTGTCAATGTCAACGTATCCTTTCTGACTCTGACTCTGGGGATTCAATCAACATCAGAAGGCAAGGGTTCTGACAAATTAGCATCTATACCACCACACTGGAACTTAACAAAGCTCGAAAAGGAACATCCTTCATGCTTCGGCTTCATTCTTCTCCTCCTTGTCCTCCTTTCCCTTGCTGAGCCTGGCTGCTACTGCAGGCCCATAATAGTCGAACCCCAATACCAATAGAATATTCGATGTAATCCTCTGCCGTCCATCCTTCAAAGGCGATCCTATGCACCGTCCCGAATCAGCGCCCTAATTTGGAAGACTTCGCCGCTAGAGATTTGCGAGACTTCTGCATCCAACGAGTTCTTTCCACTCTTCTGTCTTCCCCGCACATGATCGGTTTGGCCTATATTCCAAGTTCTGTGCTTCACTGATTTGGCGCAGTCTTGGCCTCAAGACGCCATCAGTGGTCTGCGTCATTTCACGGCTTTGCATCCAGGAATCCGGCGTCAAAGCCTTCAGCAAGTCCTCAATGTCTTGACCATGCGAACCTCAAGGGTCTTGCAAACGTCGATGCTGTGACCAACTAAGACCGTTTGTGCCGTGCAACAAAGGCTTCTAGGTTGGAGGCCATCGCTATTACAGTATATAGGTTGGAGGCCATTACTACTGGTAACACAAAGCTTCTCTAGACTATGCCGTTTGTGCTCCCACCTAGCTGCAGAAGTCCGGACTCGGGTGAAGTCTTGGCCCGGGCATCAATGCTTCCTGCCAACTGGTGCAGGTGCATAAATGTCCGACGCTTGGAGCTGGGGCTTTGGGATGGGCAACCTTCTTTTTTTCACCCTTGAACCCGGTTTTTCTCACCCCGCCCTTTTTTTTTCCACCCTCCACCTTTCTTTTTCACCCTCTGAACCTGTTTTTGTCACCATCGAACCTTCTTTTTTCACCCTCTACCCTTTCTTTTTTGACCCTCGACCCATTCTTTTTCACCCTCCTTCCTTTGCTTGGTGTGTTGGTTGGTTGGCTAGCTTGTTGTAATGCAAACCAAATATCGACAGCCTTTAGGAAAACACAGGGTTGTGTGGTTTTGGTTGATTGGTTTGTTGGTTGCTCGGCGGGCTACCAATGCAGAGCAAGTATCGACAGCATTTGGGGAAAACACAGCTTGGTTGCTACCCTTTCTTTTTAAACCCACTTCCTTTGGATGGTGTGTTGGTTGGTTCGGCCTGCTTGGCTTGTTGGTTGCTTGGATTTTGGGAAAACACATGCAGTGATGGATGGATGATGGACAGGGAGAAAAATAAAACTGTTTGGTGGGTTGGTTGCTTGGTTTGCTTGCTGTTGATTGCTTGCGTGATACAGTGGATGGATGGATGGATGGATGGATGGATGGATGGGTAAAGGCGGGACGGGGTGCGGGGGAGGGCGCAGCGCCTTCCCCGCAATGCAAACCAAGTACCGACAGCATTTGGGGAAAAACAGGGTTGCGTGGTTTGGGTTGCTTGGTTTGTTGGTTGCTTGGTGGGCTACCAATGCAAAGCAAGTATCGACAGCATTTGGGGGAAACGTTTGGTTGCTTGGTTTGTTTGCTGCTGGTGGGCTACCCACCCTTTCTTTTTAACTCTCCTTCCTTTGGTTGTTGTGTTGGTTGGTTCAGCCTGCTTGACTTGTCGGTTGCTTGGGCTTGGAGAAGACACATACAGTGATGGATGGACGGACGGACGGACGGATGGATGGATGGATGGATGCTGTGTAAGTCAAGGCGGGAGGGGGTGCGGGGGAGGGCGCAGCGCTACGGGATGGGTGGTTTTGGTTGCTTGGTTGTTGGTTGCTTGGTGGGTTTGTTGGCTTGGCCGCGTTGTTGCTTGGTTGGTTGGTCGGCTGGTTGGCACTCCGTTGATGGGTGCATGGATGGACGGATGCTGTGTAAATGGGGAGGGCGCAGCGCCTCCCCTGCAATGCAAACCAAGCCTCCCCCGCGCGGGATTTCTAGTACCTACAGCACTTGGGGAAAACACGGAGTTATTGCTTGGTTGTTTGGTTGGCACTCCGTTGATGGATGCATGGATGGACGGATGGATGGATCCTGTGCTGCCTCACGTTTCGGAGGCGTCCGGGTCAGTTTCCGGCGGTTCCCGTCGTTCCGGACAGTCTCTACGCAGTTTCGGGAGGGTTCCGAAGGCTAGTAACAAGAAGCTATTGGGGTGAAAACAAAGGGTTTGGCAGGTGCAGGGACAAGCGGTGTGAAACAAACCGGAGGTGACATCGTTCTCTGTGCAGGTTCCATGGGATACCTGCTTCACCGGCGGAGGGTTGAAAAGAAAGGGTCGAGGGTGAAAAAGAAAGGGTGAAGGGTGAAAAAAACAAGGTGAAGGGTGAAAGAAGCATGCTACAGGGTGAAAATGACAGGGTGCAGGGTGAAAATAAAAGGTTTTGGGAGGGTGGAAAAAAAAGGTCCCAAAGGGTGGGGAAAAAAAAAAGGAATCTTGAGGGTGAAAAAAAAAGGTTTCGAGGGTGGGAAAAAAAGGGAAGGTGAAAAAAACATTGTTTGAGGGTGAAAAAAAGGGAGCCCTTTGGGATTAGTGCTAATTAGTTTAGCATGTCCATTTGCAGCCAGGGCTTCCTGCGTCATTGAATCAATGCGCATTCGTGACACATACTCTGAATGGGTGCCCGCATCTAGTCGACTGGCTTGACATCAAGCAATGTGATCACATCATATAGACAGTCCGCATCCTACAGTCCAGTTTTTTTGCCGGAGCCACCTTTGTCTGAGTGAGACAAGTGGCCGTTGGCCCTACCCTGTTGCACTGAAGGGTGAAATTAATGAAAAGACGGAACTGTAAACCTACAAAAACGGACTGTTCCAGGGTGTGTTCTTCTCATCATTTGTTCTGCCTTCTGCCTTGCCTTCCCCATTGCTCCACAATCCCCAACTTCGCACCTCGAGCCCCAGTGGCACGGGTGGTGATTGCTTCTTCATCCAAGCGGCATGCCTTCGAGGCCTCGGTGCGACATGTTCACCATACGATACGTGCCATACACACAGACAGATGTGGCGGCGTGAAGTGTTGCTCAGAAACTTCCAAGTTGAGGAAACTATCAAACCTCCTGCGGAAATAGCAAATAAGCATCGAATAAACGTTAGGAACATGCGGGTTTGACTTCAGCTGGGGATTTCACAGGCATCGCCAAAAGCAGGATGGTTTCGGGGCATGTTCAGCTGTGCCGCATGAAGTAGGGACGCAAAAATCTCTCTAGAGCCAAGCAAAGCAAGTAGGGAGAAAAGCATGGGAGTCTGATGTTAGTAAAACTCGAACAATACAATGAAGAAACCACCAAGTAGAGAGGGACACCCATCAATAGCATCTATATAATAGCATCACATCGCCACATCAAACATTGCACTTCACCACAACCAGTCGCCACACACCGCAGCACATCGTCAAAATGAAGATCACCGCACGACGTCCATGTCCATTTTTTTGCTTCCGTTGTTGGAAACTTCCGCCACCCAGCGTCGAAGATGACCTGGTATGGGACCAGAAGAAGATCATGAGCAAAATCGTAAGATGGCACTTGAGAGAGGAGGGGGTGAACGAAAGGTAGCAGGCAATCATAAGTAACCCTGGTAGAAGTCCATGACGGCGTCAAAGGTGGATGATACATTTGTGCTAAAGCAAGGAGAACTCAGGTAGCTCAAGCTACCTTTCGTGATCATTCGGCATCATGATCATCACATCTGCCAACGTCTGCCTGTTACCAATCGTTCTACTGGAGCCATGTATGTCCTCGGCTTCAGACACGAGCTTTCAGGGTTTTGTTGCCTAAGCGGCCCAGATCCACGGGCCTTGCCGAGGCTCTCACGACCTCAAGTGACTCTCAAGCCTGTTGAAAGGGACAAAGAACCGCGAATCGTTGATGGGTTTTAAAAAAAAAAAAAATATATATATATATATACGCCTATCTTTATATATATATAGTTATATATATATACTGATACTTGTGTGAATTATGAGCCAACCAATCCAATGATCACAGAAGACCTGAGTGCGTCACTGCTGTTGCAAAAGGTCGCCTGTCGGCCTGGCACCAGCATAGCACAGATTTGATCCATACATTTCTAGCAGCAGCAATGGCCTCCAACCTACTGTACTAGCTATGACCTCCACCTAATAGAGATGGCCTCCAACCTATTACTAGCGATGGCCTCCACATACACGCTTACGTTCTGTCTGCCACACCTGCGACTCATCATACGGGACAGTCATGGGCCTGCTGGTCAAGCCCTGAGCAGCACGTGCACACATGGCTATATAATGCTCCAGTGATTCCGCCACATCATGCGGAGGAATTTGCTTGATCTCTGAAGCAAGGATTGCAGTAGAGACAAACGTGCCCACATCTGTTTTCCGTTGCTTGAGAGGTTCTCCTCTGAACGAACGATGGCTGCTGTACATATTTTCAACTATGCGAAGCTCTCCATGCATATTCACAGGAGTTTCGGCAAATGCTATCCCTGAGTGCAACAAACAACACCAACCCTTGACGTTGTGCAAAGTTACATTTGAGGCTTTCAAGAACATCGTGTTCCTCTGGGCTTGACAGGGAATTCAGCATACATCAATAGCCTCTAGCTACGGCTAGAGGCACATCGCTCCACGCTGCTAGCATTCAGACTGCCACGACAAACGATCTCCTTTGCGGCCTGCGAGCGCGGCCCTTCGCCCCTGCAGCTGCGAGGCTCAGAGTCGGCTATGAGGCTGCGATTTCAGCACATGCCGTGTAAGGAAGGAGAGTATGTCATGCATGACTTCATCTGCATTCAGCTCCTGTCCAGGGGGTTGTCAAGCGTGCAAGAGAGAGAGAGAGAGAGAGAGAGTCCACCCACAAAGCCAGGCTTGCTTGTGACATGGTTAAGGGATCTAAAGGTAAGAAGGCCAACTTATATAGTCGATCAGTCAATCTACTGTATACATAGCTGGTTGGTGTTGGACAAAGGAAAATGCGTTCAATCAACATCTTTCATCTTCCAGCCCTGTCCAAAAGCACTTCATGACGGGCTCCGCTGTATGCGATCCTTTTGGTGAGCGCCTTGCCCGCAGCTTTCATCTGCTTTTCCACTTGGTCTGCTGACTGGGTCCCAAAATCATTCCGAGTCACGGGGTCCAAGGTGCCCCAAATCACCAGAACCGGCACCTGTGGAAGCTTGGACAAGACTTCCTTGCTGGCTGCAGCATTGATTGCATTGATGAGAGACTTCGTGAAGCCCACGCTGGTCTTGAAGCCACAAAGCCTGGGTGGCCACAGTTTGGACAACAAGTCGGATTGCCCACCCCACCCTACTGCTCAACCATGCTCAACCTATGTATGATAACCCTAGATTAGATGGCTCGGTGACTGGATTTTGCCAAACATGCCCGAAATGCATGCCTCATACACATTGGAAGCTGAGAGTCGGGTCCTCAACATACTTCTGAACCTCCTCTGTGTCTCGGTTGAGCCAGTCAAACTCCGTCGTGTTAGGAGCGAACATGGCATTGAACTTCTCGAAGGTCAGCTTGTTGATGAGAGGAGCCACCCCGGAATCACCGTATGCCATCCCCAGTGCCGCAAGCAGTGGGCCAAAAGCGGCATTCACCGGCGCAGCAGGCACAGCCGGCGCACCCACAAGCACCAAACCTGCTAGCCCCTTCGGCTGACGAGAAGCAAGAAGCCTGGCAAGTACGCTACCCATTGAATGCCCAAGGATCACCAGTGGCAGACCATGCTCTTCCCTCTGGCAAAGGAAGAAGTTGTCGTCCACAACTCTCTGCAGCAAGTCCTTGCCAACATCCGCATGGCCGAACCAATGGCCCTTGACACCTTTCTCAATTGCCTTCTCAGCAGTCCGCCCATGCGAGCGATGGTCTGCTGCAAACACCACGAAGCCCTGCTCGACCAGGAAGCTTGCCAAACGTCCATAGCGTGCCGAGTGGTCACCCATGCCGTGGCAAATGTGCAGCGCTGCACGTGGAGGCGAACCCGCAGGAGGCGACCATTTTCTCACCAAGACTTCGCAGCCATCATCCATGGCAACCCAGGATTCATCACCTGGAGGACCCCACAGCACCATTCTGAGAAGGCCGGTCAACGATCAAACCCTAGATACCCCTGGCGGGATGATCCACGTGGCGACAAATGGCGACAAACATGGGTGCGGTGCTGATGCATAGGCAGACCAAATCAATGACGCTGCTATTAATAATGCACATGCATGCAAGCAAAAGGCATCTAGAAAGCTAACTAAGCTAGCCCATGCAAACTGGCTGAACGACAAAGCCTGCTGCGCACACAGCTCATCACTCCAGACTCCACAGCCAGGAGCCAGGCTCTATTGGCAGGGTGGTCATTGAAAGGGCGCACATTCTCCATTGCCTGCATGTCAGAAGGTCTACAGCCCCAGCCAAACCTCTGGAATTGCAAAGCACCAAGTCCGAGCGGTGCAGTACGAAAACATATATTATATAGAGTTATATACAGCTAGAGTTTATCAGCTGTCGAACTGTCCATGAAAACCCCTGAAGCATTTTGCCGAACAAAAGCGTTTGCCGGCTGCCTGCGCTGCCACAGCAACACACCGAATCACGAACTCCTGGTGTCACGAGCAATTTGAAGATCAGTCATGCTTTCGTGCAATACCTTGAGGCAGAATCCTCGGACAGCCGGTACCAATCGTTTTTCAGCTTTGCGCCAAGACCTGGCGGGTCAGGCAGTTGAGGGCCAGTGGAGGGCCTCTCTGGATCTGTTGGGAATGTGTTTGCATCATATGGAGTGTGACAAACGCGGCGCACGTAAGCTGTTGAAGTCATCGCTAGCTTTGGTCTTGAGTTTTTTGATTTCGGCCACCTGAACCAAAATCCAAGAGAACGGCTCATTCTGCTTTGGATACGAGAGCACTCAGCTCGAATCAGATTGCACTGAACCAAAGTAATTCAAACAGGCCTCCTCTTCGGTTGGCTTCGGTGGAGCCTGGATAGTGTGCGTGCCGAACCTGGGTCTGGTCGAGAAAAAAGGCCAAGGAATCTTGTTCCGGGCTACGACCAAGCACAAGCAAAACTGTTCTAAGTTGTGGGGGGGGGGGCATTCTCACTGCAGCTGATTCGCGTCTTCACGAAGCGCTCCAGCTCCTCAAAACGAGCGCATTGGGGGAAACACCCAAAGTCACTTGTCATCACCTGTCTGTTGTGTTGCTGATCTCCCTGCTGTCTACAGCATGCCCTGCACTTATGTGCCGAGAAGGCACCCTCTCCGCTGCAAGCATCTCTCTGATCGTCATTGCCTGAAAACGGGCGTCTTGGACATCAGGGTCACAAGTTCTGACTTAGGCCGCTGCCATGGTTTGTTCAGATCGCACATGGTTCCTGGCAGCATCATACAAGTTGCAAGGGGAAAAGCCAAGCTGGAAGCAAGGAAGTTGATTGTGAACGGCTTGCCTACAGCAGCTGCTGGTGGCAAAACAGTCCCGACAAAGAAGCGCGGCAACTTGCGCCTCAACGTCACCATGTACCATCTATTGATGACCGCTCGCCTCGCAAAGCTGCACTTTCGTCCACCCCCACCAACCTATGCTATAGGTGGACAGGCCTTTCTGGCGCTGGGATCTTGTAGATCCGAAAGTCTATTGAGATATCACCTCGCACAGTGTCGCTCCGTGTTAAAAGCCGATTCCATGAGTTTTCGCAGAACATGCTGCGATGGCCTCCAGCAACACCTTGCTCTAGCTGGCTGATCAATGCCTCCATCACTTAAAAACCAACCACTCACACAGATATATATATATATAACTTGCAAATTGCAAATATCATGAAAGGATATCAAAAAAGCGTGGTCACCTTTGAAGATCAACTCTGCCTCGAATTCTACCCTGTCCCCACTCTTGTACCGCCTGCTTGTCGCGCTTGTTCTTTCCGGAGACCAGGCCTTTGTAGGGCCTGAGGTGCACATATCAGTGGTCTGGCTGTTGAGCCGCTTCCTCAGGGCCCAGCTGTTTTTTGGTAGATGCCGTTTCGGCAGCCAAGTCTTTTTGCTCCTCAAGTCTGAGCCCTCAGTTGTTCCAAAATTCCATGCCCCGCCCTGCACGACAACGGAACACCTGCAGCGCCAGCGCACTAGAAATCAGAGCAGTCCTGGATGATTGCTTGCGCATTTTTCCTGAAGAAGTGTTGGAGATGGTGATCTTCGTACCTGCCACTTCCGAAACCAGTACAATTATCAAGCAGAATTGCCTGCAGCAAGGGAAGCGGCCTGTCCCAATCCTTCTCCAGTTGAGAGCAGCGACGCCTGGAAGCGTGGATGCAGAAAAGAAGAAGAGGCTATGAAGCACGATGACTCGGCCTTTTCACCGTCAGGAATCTTTTGCACCAGCGCTGCAGGAGCGTGACATTGTCTACAAAGCCTTTCATTGCTCTCCTGGCGGTGGGGAGGACATGTGCCAGCCCGGAACCAGATTGTTCGAGGCTTTCATACCCATTTTGTTTCCCGGATCGGTGTTCGTCGTGACATTTTTGCACCTGAACAAGATTTGGCTTCGAGCCTGATCCGTGACCACTCACCGAGCTGTCTGATGACCTGCGAATGTCCGTGGTGGCTTTACTCATGAATCCACTTTCCCATATTGGGTATGCAGGCAAGCTGCCAAGATGCAAATGTCTGCGGACCTCAAAGATTGTTACAAAAGAAGAAAACCAAAGAAATTACCTGCCTAGCAACCCTCAAGAGCACAAACCTTTCAATTTGGCAACATCTCTGAAGCTATGGCGTGTGAAGGCGCTTCTGACGGAAGTGGAGCACTAGCCACTGCACAACGGCCTACAAGCGAAGCAATTGCAAGTGCAAATGCAAATACAAGAGTGCCAAGAGAAAGCAAGCTATGATGCAATCCAATCGCAAAACGTGTGCCTAGCCCGACTTAAGCGGCTTACCCAAGCGAAAACATATGTACTAAGCATACACACACGCACGCACACACACACACACCCTGTCCTTGACAACTGACCATCTCCTCAAAGATTCAGATGCCACACGAACAATAAAAAGAGCGAATGAATCCGCACAAACACATCAACTTCATCAACACTCTACACATCTCAGCGTCTGGCCTTCGATTTCTGGCTTTCAAAGTGGCACTTCGCTCCATGATCGCCTGCCGTGGGCCATGTGGGCCCCTCTCGGAGCAGTGAAGGCGTGAAGACGCATGAAGTTTGAGGCTTCTTGAAACACCTGAAGTGTCTTCCTCTTGGACAATTGTCTTTCCAAAGGGCTTTCGATGTGGTCGGATGACCTGCGTCAACCAAGTGTGTCTAGCACAGAAAGGGTCAGCACTGTGTGTCTTAGCAATTCCGCAGCGCAAACTTTGAGCAAGCCACGTTGGATCCTGCCGTGGTGAAGCGACACGCCGCTTCCGTCACCGGGACATGCTGCTAATGTCAGCGTGTTTGTGAAAGTCAGTTGATTTTTAGCAGGGGGCACCTGGAGCAGAGATAGGGCAGGTGCCAACGAAAACACCTATTTTTTGCTTGTGATATCGACGGGAAGCGTCCTGTCGACGTACCTGCAACTGCTTGTGGCGTTGCTTAATCACAACCCACTCTAAAGTTCAGGCCGGTGAGGTTTCAGAGGTCGGCAGATGCGCAGTAAAGGGCTACTGCATTCGTCGTCGCCTTCGTTGCCGTGAGCCGCGCTTCGCGAACTGCAAGATTGTTTGACCTACTTCCTTACTCTTGGTGCTCTTCGGCGTTCATACCTAGGTGGGCGTGTGGCATGTGGCATGTGAATTCAGTACACAATATCTCGAATGTACCTGGCTTCACGCCAGCGCGGGGTGAGATCCACGAGTGCCCCCTGTGGCCCCGTCGCGCTGTTGTCCTTGTCCCCCTTGCTCAGGAACATTCGGGAACGCACGTGTCCACAGCAAACAGGAGGAGGCTTATGCCAAAGTTTCGCCAAAATTAGCTGCATGATTGAAGCCGAGCAGGCAGCTTTCGAGCACGCCAGACCGTGTCCAGGGCGGACGTTAGCTGCCAGCCACTTTGGGGTCTGTCGGTGCGCCAAGTGCACATAGAGTGTGGACAATAACCAGGGCTCGGCTTTCCTAGGTTCTTTAATGAGGTTTGGTTCCGTTGGTTCCATTCCCCCTTTCATCCTTCCCCCTTTACACACGTTCTTTCCTTTTTCGCTTCATGTCCTTTCTGCCTTCACGTCCATCATCTCACTCCTTTATTTCTCTTGCGCACACAACGGTCCGGCCCTTAGCATGTACGCGCACACCTACCTTTAACCCAGGCTTCAGGCCGCCCAGGTCTTGATAGTGAGGTCTGGTTCATTGGTTGTCCCTTTGCACTTGGTCTCCTTCTCACGTCTTCATCTTTTTGCCTTCTTTGAGCGCACACACATGCACATTTGCTTGCCGCTTAGTTTTTGGGCCCCGACGTGGGGGGCGTGTGTGTGAAACCCTTGGAGTCACAGGGCATCAGTTGATTTTTACGCCAACGAAGACACCTGTCTCTTGCTTGCGATATCGACGGGAAACGTCCGGTCGACGTACCTCCAACTGCTTGTGGCGTTGTTGTGATTACTCACTTTAGAGCTCAGGCTGGTGAGGTTTCAGAGGTTGGCAGATGCAACATGATGCGACCTACTTCCTTACTCTTGGTGCTCTTAGGCGTTCATACCTAGATGGGCGTGTGGCATGTGGCACTCCATTTCAGTACGCAATATCTTGATATGGCAAATGCGGCATGCGGCCGTCCTTGGAGCCACCCAAGGCATCCAAGATGTTGTGCCCACCGACAATGCCACGCTGCCGGCCGCCATAGGCCTGGAAGGTTAGCCAATTAACAGCATCATCAAATTTCGGAAAAAAAAAATGGAAACTTCAACCTCCTTGAGTTCCCTTCACACATTTCTGGAAACGAGCCTGCCTGTATTCTTTGGCCAATGAGGCTGGAGATCTCCTTGCGCCATGTCCATCAAAGGATTCTGGCGTGTCATGTGGTTTCTTCATGCAGCTGACTGCACAAAGACTCATCAGGCTCGTGAGTCATGAGAGACAGACCGTCCTTGAGGAACTTCTGCGCGGCCTTTGGATTCTTGGCGCATAAGTCAGACACAGAAATCCTGCGGATATTCAAGGACCTCATGGATCACCATCTGCAAGAAGAATCAGTCCTCTCGCCAGTAGCATCCGTGAAACCCGAGCTGGCCAGATCCAGGTCAAAGGGAAGCATGTATTTCCACTCACTCCTGCCATCAAACTGCACCTCCTCACCCATTTCAAAAGGTGTCTGAAAGCCTGCACCTCATCTGCTCACATCTCATGTATATATACATGTATATATATATATGCAGCATATAGCTGATAGCTGTGATTATATATATGTGTGTGTATAATATGCGTGTGCACGTTTTAGTATCAAACCCCTGGAAGAAGGGAAATTAGACCAAGACCAAAACCCATTGGTTGAAAAACCATTGGTTGGGGTCTCCCAAATTAAGAATGCACACGTTATACGTGTCATGCCCATTGTGAAATTAACTTCTTGCACAAAGGCGCCTCAGCCTGCTCATCTTGTCAATGAGGTGGTTGAGATATTTATCCTGTTGGTGAGCAACTGCATTGCGCATTCTTGTACTTCTTGAATGTGCAACGGCTGGGAAAAATGGTGAAGGCATCAAAAACGTCCCCTGATAAAACGAAAGAAAAGAATGATTAGATCCCGTTGGTGGTCATTCGACAAAGCACTCTTCATTCCATATCTCTCCTTGCGTAGTTGGATTGCGCGCTCCTCCCTGCTGAGATCTGCAGGGATTTCAGACTGGAACCTCAAGGCACAGAAGCTGCCGACAGCTGTGTTAACAACCTGTGCCGATGCATTGGCGCGGCAGACCTCCGATCCTGAGGATCCTGACAAAGAAGCATCTAAGGCCTCAGAGCTCTTCTCCTTTCCAGTGAAGGTCAGTGCCCTCTGAAGCTTCTCAGAACGGTGGCGAGAGTCCAACCTCAAACAGATTGAGATATGCTATGCTATGAAGGGTTTCGAACTTGCTCTCTACTGTAGTGCTGTTCCAAAGAGCAGTATACCCAAGAAAATGCTAACTAACAGCTAACAGTTTCGACAAGGGGGAAAGAACTCCCATCCACATACAAACACATCAAAGCACTTTTGCCTCCACCAGCACCTCAGGAGAGGCTAGTTCCACTTCTCGGCAAATTCTGGACATTTCTGGACAGCATTCTACATTCTAACATCCTCTAGCATTGCAATCATACACTCCGCGAGGACAAAAATGGAGATGGATTCAGTGCGCACACTGCCGCGACCGCATGTGGCGAGCTCCATATTGAATCACTTCACCACTTGCCATAGCCTTTGCCGTACGGACCCTGGGCCATCATCATGCCTCCCTTCAGACCACCTTTCATGCCCCAGCCGTAGCCCTTGCCGCCATCCCACATGCCCTTGCCGAAGCCGCCGCCCCAGCCCCAATCTCCTCCTCCTCCCCACATACCTCCGTAACCACCACAACCACCATGCGGCGCATCCAACGGTTGGCTACCACCCGTGATGTTGGTCGCCTGCTTCTGGCCAGGATTTCTTTCACTGTCACCTATGTCAAACTTCACGGTGTCACCTGCAATCGGCTTGCTACCAACGCACTCCTTGACGTTGAAGAACATCTCAGTACCGTCCTGCCAGGCAAGCAAGCTACATCGGATGGCCAACACAAATCAGTTGCACAAAAAGAAGTCGAGCTCCCTGTCCTCCATGGTGATGAAACCATAGCCCTTGGTGCCAAAATTCTTCACTTTCCCAGTGTAGGCTCCAGTGCCCTCCACAGGTCCTGTGAAGCTTGGACCTGCCCAGGGGTTCGATCGAGCCTCCGTGCAGCCCTTGACATCCTTGGCTTGCATCTGCTCTGGGTTGTTTTTCCTGGCCAGGTTCACCCTACCGCTGAACAAAAGCAGGCAGGTGACAACAATCTGAGCCAAGTTTGAGTGCTTTTAGGAAATTTTGAGAAACCTGTCCTTTGCTCTGTAGTGAAGGTCAAGACATCGCCCACCTTTGGCTGTTTGCCCTCTTCGCATTGGGAGTGATGTACGAAGACAGTGACTCCACCCATGTCGATGAAGCCAAATCCCTGAGCATCGGTGCCATCTTCAATCAACGTCTGATTCACCCGAAGCTTGCAAAAGAATTGCACAAATTCAAACATTCGTCAAGGATTTCCCTGACTGCTTCAGACTCTCCCATCGGCCCCGCTTATGGTTTCCGCCTTCAGGGTATTGTAGGAAGTACAAGTTCCTGTTGCCTCAGAATAAACAAAATGACGAACTCAAGTGCATTGTTCAAAATAAGAATCCGCGATGTGCAGTCCTAGAAGCATGTGCAAAACTGCTCATGCCACTCACTCTCTCTCGCTCTTTCCCTCTTTCCCACTCAAGCCAAGGGGCTTCTGTCATTTCTTCTTCACTGTGAGGTTCTAGGTGACACCCTCGAGCCAAACTGAAGAGCCGTGAGGGCACCTGCCTGCACTTCTACATGTTGAGGTCAATTGTGTTCCCTCGCATTGTGCCTCCACTTTGAGCGGCTAATCGCTCGAATCATGATGGCAGAATTTGAGTCCTTTGACCAACCTTTGACCTACATACTGTTCTCGACGCAAATGGGTCAAACATGGTCAAACTTGCAGAGAAGACCTCTTGGGCATCGAATTTCAGCCTGCGAGGCCTGCTGAGGCGCCCGGCATTTGATCCACCTCACAACACAGCAAAGTCTGCACGACGAAGACAGAACACGCGCCGCCGAATTTGGCGGGCAAAAATCTGGAAAGCAAAACCAAAGGCCCTAGCACCGCCACTTTCGTTGAGCATTTCGCACTGGCTCTGGATCTTCCTGCACAAGAAAGAATACACTGTGAGGCCAAGAATACCATCTGTGCTGATGGGGGCATGCGACATTGAAGCACCGCCATTGTGGGAATGCAATGCATGCTTGCTCAGGTCTTGGCAGAATGTCGACGATATTGATTTTTTCAGAGCCCTTCTCCCCGTAGACCTGTTCCCAAACGAATGACACTATAGTGTCACTATATATAGCGGTAGTCAAAACTGTAAGCTCTCAAAATCTGGACGACAATCCACACCTCATAGTATCTCAAAGGGATTGAGTGGTGCTTCTTTTGTCCACCGCTGTCCTCCTGTGCTCAGCTTGCTCCGTCCGTGAGAGCTTCGAAAAGTAAGAGGGGGAACACTTGGCTCCCTTTTCAGCGGTCGAGAGCCGCCTGAAGCTCTTGTTCCTAGTAGCTTCTACTTCCGAGTGGTAAGGCCAGGAGCTACTAGTAGCGTGCTTGCTACTAGTGGTAATGCCCTTGTTCTAGTGGCTTCTTTGGGATTCCTCCTCGGTCGAGAACCGCCTCTTGTTCTCGATCTTCAAGGCCACCTTCCTCTTTGGATCCCTTAGAGGCGAAGCTATGAGAGAATCCAACAATCCAACAACTTTGTTTGTTTAAAGCCGGGGGGGGGGCCGTAGAGTAGCTAACGGTAGCTAGTAGAAGCTAACGGGAGTCGTTAGTAGCTTAAGTAGCTACCACCTAGGACGCAGGATAGCTCACGCTTTTTCAAGGAAGCTCCCCCCCGCCTGACTGAGGGCAGGGGGGCTTCCTTGAAGAAGTGCTCGCACTATTCATTTGGTTCCTAGATTTTTAGGGAAACTTAGGAAGCTTCAGGCGCCTGGCCTGGCCATCTGCTCTTTCTTCCGGGCCTTAAGTGCCAAAGAGGAGCTGTCACATCTGTGGGATCTAAGGCGCTACTTCCTTCGAAGCAAAACAGGGCAGTTCCCGGCAGTTCCCCCCAATTGTTCAGAGCACCCCACGCGTCGAAGCTCCGCCTCGCGCCTGCGGCGTGCCTGCAACAGGTATCGACCCGGAGGTCAAACACAGGATGAATGAAATGAATCAAATCATGCTGGATAGATAGGTAAGTAGATGGAGACACGGTACGGTGATAATAGGGCCCTGCGATTTTGGCCCTCGGCTTGGAACATGTCAGCGTTTTTAGCACCACTCAGGTTTTTGGGAGGGTGGGGAGGGGGCCAATGACAAGCAAAGCAGGTGAAGAGTGTCGGTGTTTCTTGTTGGTCGGGGCGCATGCTGCATCGCTTCTGCAGCTACCATGGCTAGTCGCGAAGGATCGCGCACTCCTGAATGAAGCCAGGGGTGTGCGCAGCGATGGCCCGCAGCGTTGCGGTTTTGCATTCTCCTACAGTTGGCTACGGGTGATGGCCTAGGTGAGAAAGTAATGATTGTTGTGGGCCGCAGCAGAGGCCCATTGCGAGTGCTGTGGAAGCAGATGCTTCGATAGGTGCGTTAGAGGAAGGGTTGAGGGCAGTGTTGGCCAGACGTCTTGGCACTCTGGATGTGCCGACTTGTCAGTGCTGTCGGCCTTTACGCATTGCAGCATTGCCGTTCCTTTATATGCCAATCTTCGACGATGAGGACGCCTTGTGCAGCTTCTGCACAGAGGTGCTATGCGTAGCAAAGATTCGAACCAGGGCCGTCAGACCAAAACCACGCATAAATCACCTACTTCTCAAACACCCAAGCTTCAAAACACAAAAACCCGAGGCCCTAAGATAAACTGATAGGTAGATAGATAGATAAATAGATAGACAGACAGACAAACCAATGCCAAATAGACAAATAGACAAATAAAAAATGATATACAGTAAAGTGATTTTTTCGAGTGGAAGACCTGCGTGCAAATGTTGAAGGTCAAAGCTATCAGCCTCCTCAGCCTTGGCTGCGGCTCGCTCTTCGATGCCTCAGCAGGCCGTCAGAAATCCCGAGCTGACAAGCTGCAATACAGTGACCTTTTCTTGAGAATCCTCCTGAGTTCTCCATGGCCTGTGGACTTTCCAGAGCATTCTGCAGCGAAGCCACTGGCACGCTCAAGATGCTGAAAAAGAATGCTCTTCGCCAGGTCCTCATATTGCATTTACAGGCAAGCTCTGCAAAAGCTCCGCGAACCCTGCTTGAGGCTCTGTGTCAGTGGCAACCCTTGCCAAAACCCGAACTCGTTCAAAGGTGCTTCCGCTGCCTAAACTTAACCCGACCTATTCAATGATCATCCCTAGAACTCAATGCCCTAATGACATCCACATCATGCTGATCACTCCTGGATGTGATGATCAAGGTCGCTCAAATCCTTGACAAAGGTTTCCTGCCGGCACGGGGCGCAGGCACAACAGCAAACACTGTTAAAAGGAATTGTGGAGACTAGAGGTTCAAAGTGCAACCCACTTGGTGCTACAGACCTTCTCAGCTGCAACTCTCATGTCTCTCAGACCCTCAGTCCTCGTCCTGAAGCTCCTCGGCCTATCAGGGTAAAGCACCCAAAAGCGATGAACCTCTTAGCATGTATATGAATGATGTGACTTCAAGGCCTGCTCCATTTTCCATGTTGCAACAAAACAACCATCTGCTCTCAGAACCCCTTTTGGTCCAACCGCAGCAATTGGATGGCTTCAAGCCATCGAGATACAAAGTCAAGTCAATAGAGGCCTAAGCACACGGTGTCAAACAGAGCGTGTCAAGCCAGTCAACCAAAGAGATCAAAGTCCATCTCTTCCTCTTCTTCCTCTTCTTCCACTACCTCACCACCGAAGCATCGGGCTTCAAAATCTTCAAAATGCACTCAGCGGTACTGTCCCTAAAATTTGCTAGCGGCTAGCGGCTAGCGGCTGGCACCCATGGTTAAACATTCACTAAGCCTTCCACACATTGAACCCCTGCCTTTTTCTTGTCATCATCTGGAGCTCCTACCACAACTTCTGCAATACCTCCAGCTGCTTCAGATACATTGCTCACACCACTGCCAATCTTGATGAGGCTCTCCTAAACCAAATTTCGACGAGCGAGCATTGAAAAGCAGGAGAAAAAGCAAAATGAAAATATACAGTAAGATCCAAACACGTCGCGAATTATGTTCCAACACACCAGTGTTTGCCCTGTGACTTCAACCACTGTCCAGCCACGCGAAAACTTACCGGCACCCTTCCACGAAACCATGCCAGTATTGTTGATCATTCTGCTCATGAGCAATGGCCAGTAAGATTCCACGGAGCATCCTGCAGCCTTGATGAGCGTGTTCATTGAAGTAGGGTTGATCTCAGCACCGTCGTCATGCAGGATCAGGGCTGCATAGGTGCAAAGCAACTCATCCTTCTGCTCTGCCCCAAGGCTCCCCAGTGGCACATCTGCGCCGTGACCTGTGCCCTGTCTGACTTTGGGCCCTCGATGGCTGCAGTTCCAGGCCCCATGGGCAAGTGATCAAATCGAGAAGCCTAACCTATATAATCCGGCGGTTCCAACGCCTCTAAGAATTCAGTCCCATCGTTCCCAGTAGAGGCATTGCCCGCACCTCGGTGCAAAAAATAAGACATCATAGAACGCGGCACCCTTGTGTACAAATCTCAAAGGTCTCCCACTTCCAGCGCGCCCGCTTTGTGCAGACTCGAACCTAAGGAAGCTTGCATCATCTTGCATCTATGCAACTGCAACTTGCTGTGTCCAACCCTTCTCCCAAAATCACTGCTGAACATTACACATATTTTTAAGGTCGCTGCTTCAGAAAAAACTGTTCACGCTTGAAGTTCTCTTTCCGAGCAGGGTATGACCTGACTCTTGCCATTCAATGGCTGGAATGATTTCCCCCTCGTCATGTTTCATCCCATCACCCATGCCATAAAATGCGCTGCTGTCCCTGTTCCTCACACTGGGAGTTGGGCAAGCCCTGATCAAGTGGCGGCAGGTCTGAAAGCGTTTGGGAAGCCTCAAGGCACTCAAGGCAAGCCACAGCAAATGAACCAACCCCTCTCGCATCTGAATGACACTACGAAACAGACTGTAACCACTGTAAATACGGCTTGCCTGCTCCAGTGAGGACCTCAGGTCACAATCGTCACTGGACTTTTTTTACTCACTTAATCCTTGTTCTCACTTGGCAGCTTCGAACTCCCTCTAGGAATGCCACTCGGCATCGACATGCCCTTGAAAGTCCTTTGACAGAGATCGTTCCTCAGGACCGATCTTGCGGTGTCACAGCATGATCCTTCGATCCTTCGGTCTGCCATCTTTTTGCTCTAAACTCCCTTGGTCACTCATAAGTGACTCATAAGCCTGGCGCATTGACAAACGCACGTTTCCGTGAAACTAATAGGAAAAAAAAACACGAGATCCAAGAACCTTGACAGAACAATCTTTGTTTGTGATCCTGGGCCCGCTGCAAAGTCCACCACGCTTTGTGACACTCTCTTCCTCAGGCTGGGAAGAGATGTGCTGTGCAACACTTGGTCTTGGACATGAAAAGCACATTGATCTCAACAACTTTGCGGCTGTGATGCTGGGAACGTGATCCCAAAGCAGAGCCTGCAATCTTTGTATCTGCACTTCTGTCATTGCGCCCCAATCACTTCAGAAGGTCGTGTAAGGTGCGGAGCTGCTTTTCTTCACAGTCGGACTCTCGAGCCCCGCAATCTGCGCGATACCCAACCAAGCTTTGGCTGGTCAGGCAAGAAGTACACATCTGCCAAAGGCTCACCCAAGCTATCCTCGCCAGGAGGGAAGCTCCAAGCAAATCATCACAGTACGGGGCCAAATGAATCGAGACGTGAGACAAGACATCGGGTTGGATGTACAGTAGGTCTAGGTCTAGGTTTACAATATTTTATACTGATATATAATATATATATATATATATTAAGGACGCTATCTATCAAGGTGAGACACGAAGACTATCGGCAATCGTAATCCGGAACCCTTTGGCAGCGTGCTCCAGAAAGTTCCTCGTACAGAGTGTACATAGGCTTTCTGGCATATTCCGGGATCAGCGCCTGCAGAAAGGGAAGAGAGCCGTACAGTTCCGCACACCACTTCAATCAATCTTCCTCAAGCGACGCCTTGACGCAGTCTGATTCTGCATCCAAAACAAAAGCGCGAACTGGCGCAGAGAAAAGGACCAAAAGATTTCGATGCTGCATCACGGCATCGTCGTACCTGTGCCATGGTTGCGAAAACATCCATCCCAGCATTTACTCAGAGTGCGACCAAGTTGCTTCATTGGTGAATCTGCTTGACAAAATCCCAGGTTGATAGGAAAGGCATCATCATTCCTAGGGCTCATCTCAGTCGGTGCGCAGCTACGTGCCGACTCAACCCATTCTCACTCCCCTAAACACAGGTCCTTGCAGGATACTCACACGCATGCAGAAGGAGACCTATTTGGCCGTTTTTTCGCCGGAAGCAGTGGCCATGGAAGAGGTCGTGCCGGTTGACCTCAAAGGAAAAAACAACATTTATATAAAACCCTCTGGCTTGGAACATCTTCAATCAACAACAAAGGAAACCCGGGAGGCTGGGGATGACTTGCAATGGCAAAAAGATCGCAAACAGTAAGCAGGCTGGGCTCTGTGTGTGGGATCACAAAGCCAGCCGCTCACAAAAGCAACTTCAAGTCTTCAGGGGAGGCAGGCCTGCACTTGGAATCCTTCAACCTGTGCAGCTGCTGCAGCACTAAAGATCACCTCCCTGACAGCTGCATCCAGCTCTTCATCCAACAAGGACTGCACTTCCTGCCCGAAACGGCAAAAGCTCAGCCGCGAGATGCAGGAGTGTGTCAAAACTGAAAAAAGGAAACGTGCCTGGGTGACAAGCTGGCAGCGACCAAAAGTTGGAAACCTGAGCCAGGTGTCAATACAAATTACGAATTACGCATTGCGCACAAGAATGCAACTGAATCGACGTACATAAATGGAATATCAAACCTGGCCAACCATCCTCTGAGGCACTCCCAGGTTGGACCAAGTCGAGAAGAGACTGCTGCCGCCAAACGAGAACCTGCACGGTCACCACTTGTCCGTGTCCCAGGTGATTCGCCCAGCACCCTACATGCCTGGGACGAGAGGGGACTGCAAGCCGTGCAAGCACAGCTCGCAAGCCAACTGTCTGCCCTTTTCATCATGCACAACGCCACGCTCCAACCTGGCATGGAAGACACTCGCCACTGCAAAAACAACGATCACAGAGCTTGACATCGTGAATGAGGCTGATGATTCAGAATGTGACCTCAACATCATCTCCTCGGCTGCGGGCACAACCTCTGCCAAACAATGGTGGGCCGCGACCAATCCAATCGCTGCAGGCCGCAGGCGACACAGGAGCATGACTCTTCAAAGGCAAATCGCTGAGGGGCGAGTCATGAAGAAAGGAAAGGACAACAAATGCTTGGAAATGTTCGACTGCTGTGGAGAGTCGACTGTTGTCAGTCAGCAATTTGCCTGTTTGTCACTTGCTATTCACCTACAAGTTTGAAGCCAAGGTAAAGCGCATTCAATGCACTTCACGTTTTGTGTTGCCCTACTGGTCACCATGACATGTCCCAGTGCCCAAACTCTGACCTGAAAGGCTTACACTTACAGTATGAAATGTTTGACAATGCTGATGATGCTGTTTTGAACCTTATCTTGATGACACCAGTTGTCCAGAAGTCTATGCCAAGCATCAAAATCTATCCGTGCATTAGGGCCTTCTGTGAAGCAATCAGTTCCTGCCTTCTCTATCGTCTGAGAAACCGCTGCTGCCACTTGTGCTAGGTCGATGATTCAAAGGCCTCAAGCAAAACACTATGCATGAAAATGTGAATAGCGATGGGCAACTGATTTGATATCCGACGACCCTCTCGGCCAACCACTCCAAACAGAGCTTCCGGTCGGCTGCTGGGAAAGCTGGTGCCTCAGTGTCCGATAGCACGCAACGGCGCTGCAGGTTGGAGGTCCTCACATAGAAAAACCGAGGATGTCCAGTCATGTCCAGTCTGCGATTCAATTTGTTTGTGGTACAGGCCCTTTGCTGATCTGCATTGGAGACGGGGGCTGCACTGACGCAATTCGAGCAAGAGGTTGGCTCTTCAAACCTAGTGCTGCAATGCAGGCACTCAGAATCATCCGGCGCAAGTCACGGAATCGTTGCCCAGATTCCCTGGTTGGCAATCCCTGACTGACAAGGAGTGTGCACAAAACGTACATGTACAAAACTATGCGAGGCCTGGCAAGTGCGCTGTTGATGTCAGCACAGTGGGCGAAAGAAGTGCCTGAATGACGGGGTCGTGTTGAAGTTTTGTCTAGCTGCTGCACGAGTCCTCCACAAAATGCTTGCAAAACAGAATTCGATTAGGGCAATCATGTACCAACGCGGTCGATGGGCCTCACCCCTGAGCAACGGATCATGCAGGGATTTCAATGAAGTAGGTGGAGCGGTCCAAACAGGCCTTGGTAAACAATACCACTGGACAAGTTGCCACTTCAACTGATGGGATCTCGGCAAGGCGGAAATTCAAAGTCGAGACCAGCGCCGTCGAAACCGGCGGCTGCCCGAACGATGAAGCTGCTCGGATGCCATGGCAAAAATTGAAAAAGGACTAAACAACAACAATTGCCTACAAAAAGCGATGCAGTGGTTGCAGCCTGTATTGACGTCCTTGTTTGCAGGCTGCGCACATTAGTGCAACAGTGAATTAGATGGAGAGCTTGGTATGTTTTGCGGTATCAATTAAATTGTGGATCAAAGTGCGGATTCTGGATGGTTTCAAGAACAACTAATGATGTGATGATGCCTCATTCCTTCTCTGTTCGTTCTCTATGGGGGGACTCTCGCTCGCCTTTAGCGAACCAGGTCCTCGCCGGCCGCTCCACACCTCAAGACCACGGTCCGTCAATATTTTGCTAACATGCAAGGTCGCACGGTTCACGCTCACCTGAGGCGCAGGCAGGGAACAAACGGCCTACTCCAAAACTAGGAACATCCTACACAATTGTCTTCGAGCCCAAGAGAAAAAGCACGGAATGAGATGAGACATGCCACGCACATCATTCAAAGCATTGCATCAGCGAGGGCTAAGCGGGTTGCACCGGCACATGTTGTCAATCTCCAGGGCTGCAAACCTCAGAAGGGCAACCAGCATTTCCGCCAAGGCGAGAAAAATACAGAAAAATATCATCTTTTGTGCTGTATTCAAATGTCTGCATCCCGCTGTGCGCCAACCATGTCTGCTCAAAAGGTCAAAGACACGTTCGCGTGCAACCCACGGTGCGTGAACGGTGACCAATACAGTACTGCCATTGCCCCTTGCCCACCGCAAAAAAAAGGTCGGACAACACTGGGGAGACAACCTTCCATTGACACAGAAAAACGAATCAAATGTTTAACAAACCCCAAACACAATAATTAGAAAGGCCGTAACTTAACATAACAACACTTTGAGGCACGTCACCCTTGCCAAACAAATTGTCAATGGACGCCATGACGCCGTAAAATTGAAACACCAACGTGCCATATCTTTCCTTGTTGGGCCTTAGCATCACGCAGTAAAACGCGCCAAATAATACAATTTCAACACCCCTCCACCGCCAGGCTCTCACCAGGCACGCTGTGTCCAACACCGACGCAGGCTGTGTGCACAGGTTGGGTTGTACCCACAGGGAAGTCATGACAACTGCAAACCCGCCGACACAAAACACCATGCACGGACGTTTTTAGCGCAATGGCCGGCGGCTCTAGTGGGGGCTGTGAGCGTTGAGCGCGGGCAACGACGATGTCATGGAAGTAGAGGGCGCGAGTAGATGAAGCATAGGACTGAAAACCCTGCCGCAGGCCCTGGGGGACCGCCATCCGCCAATTGCTTATCACGCAGCTCAAGGTCCATTGCAGTCGCCACGAAGCGCCCCTTTGGGCATTTGTGATGGATGAATCCAATGAGTGCGCCATGAAACTCATGAAAACAGGTCTTGGTCGTTCCGCCTGAACATGTTCAGCCATGCCTCCGCGTAGCAACATTGAGATCACCATCCCTTAAAAAAATTCCAGCAGACATTGCGCATCTGGGGCTATGGTTTTTCCGACACGCTCCGCCATGCAACACCGCCATTTTCCGCCGAGGCCGCGCCATCACAAACGTAATTTCCCGGCACTGCGGGCTGCTGACAGAACGCAACGAGGTGCAAACGAGCAACGCGCAGCATCTACACATACATACACATGCGCGGCATTTTTGCAGGGCACAAGGTGTGTTCTCAAACCTAGGCTTTTCACTGGAGCATTGCAATGGGCCATGGGCAAGTGGCGTTCCAAAGTGGAAAGTGGAGACTTAGGCATTGACATGCATGACGGTTTGCCACGATTGCTGGATTTGAGGTTCGCTGATGATATTTTTACATTCGGCTCCACTTCGCTTCAGTGCTTGGAATTGTTGGATGCTTTCGAAAATGTGTTGGACGAAGTTGGGTTGTTTCTGAATGTGGACAAAACGGTGCTCTTGACCAATGAAGCCCGGCCACCCCATTTCCTGAAGACACGACGGCAACAGCGTTTGCAGGTGAAGTCAGGTTTGTCCGGACACAAAATGGTTGGGGTGCATTTTCTGTATGGGGAGCAGTGGGCGCACGAATTTAGAAGTAACTCACCATTTGCAAGCTGCTTCAAAAACATTTTTCTCTCACAAACAAATTCTTTGTGATCACACAGCGAGTTTGAAAGATCGATTGCAATATTTTGATGCCACCGTTTCTCCGGTTGCTTTGTTTGGTGCTGGCCACCGCGCGCTTCACCAAGGAGATCTCCACCAGATGGATGTAACATTTCGAAAATTGTTTCGTACCGTGGTGGGCCCGCCTTCTGGCATTGATTGGTCCAGCGATTGGCATGTCATCCTTCATTTATGGAATGACCAGGCCCAAAGGTTCGCGAATTTTTTCCACATCAAAACTTGGTCCCGCCGTTGTATGGAGCATTATTGGGAGTTGGGTGGCTATGTTGCCAATCTCCCGCAAGAGCGTTGGATCCACCGGGTGCTTGCTTGGAACCCTTTGGGTCGTCATCGTTCTGGCTGCCCCGGGGCAAGTTGGCCAAATAAATTTGTCTCGTACACTCGTTACCGACACTTGGGCAATTGGCAGGTTTTGGCTCGTGATCCTGATTTGTGGCATGGATTGCTGGATGATCTTTGCATGTTTTGTGGTTATGGATGAAAAGCCATCGTAATATACATACTGTAATCCTATCTGGTTGGTTTCACTTGTCCCACCTGCGCCCAAAGGGGCTGCCGACAGGCTCGCAGGTTCAAAGTCAAAGTCACAGTTTTGCAGGGCACACTCGGTGGGACATTGTAAGGCACTTGCAGGTTGAGCACGAGAGTCTTTGCAACGCAGCGGTGGCACACAAATCACACACACACAGTGAGACACCACCACGACTAAATTACAGACTTTCCAAATTTGAGTAAATTGAAGTACATGTCAATACCCAGTTTGCAAAACTTCGTAGCGCAGGCACCAGCCGGGCCGGACCATTAAAGTAGTTTTTTTGATGTTCTTTGTGCCACACTAGCACTGTAGCCTGATCCCGCACAACGGCCGCAGGCCGGCAGCACCAGTTCGCACTTTGTGGCAAAAACGCTCTCCAACTGATAGCGCTCACTTGCTAAGGGGCAAAAATGGTTTTATAACGCGGGAACCCATTAAGCACACATCCAACATCAGATGTTCTTCTACAAGCACCGAACAGCTGCGCGCAAACCGCATGGTGCCTTTCGCTGAGACTCAGGCACCCGTTTAGGTGCTTCATTTTGCTCATACGTTCCTCTCAGCAAAACCTTTTCTGCAGCAGCCGCGCATCATGCTGCACCTGCTTCCGGCCCGTTGTGTTCATTTTTTCGTTTGAAAGCCCGCGTTGCGTCCACGGCCTTGCTCAGCTACGAGAAGCGCCGCCGCCGACGCAACAGAAGCACGTGTTCCTCCAATACTCGTCGTGGAAAAAGAAGCACAAGGCAAATGAACCCGTTCAACTCTATCTGTCCCAATTTTTTTGTCCCAACGCCTTTTTTGACGTGCAAAATGAAGTTTTCAGCGGTAAAAAACTGCGACACAATTAATCGTCAGTCGCGTTCCAAACGCCAGTCACCACAAAACATAGGATCAAGCAACAAAAAATGTTTGCACCCTTCACGGCCCAAGCTTCAAAGTGCACACGGGCATCTTGCGGCAGCACCCTGGAGCGGCACCCTGCTCATCACCAACGCCCAAACTCCAAAGCGAGCACGGCCAGGGGATCTCACAGCAGAACCGCAGAGGGACGCGCTGTGCCACAGCAATGGTTCGCACGCACCAATGCGCCCAACATCTCCCCAAAGGACCGCCGACGGCAAGACCTTGTCATGCATGGCGTTCGCTTGGTGCTGCGACGCCACTCTGGTCTCTGCCCTGACGCGCCCCGACGCTCTCATTCCCGGGGCCGTTGACTCTGATGGCGTTGCCCTGCGCCTCGCCGAGCGGCGCATGCGACACCGGTATCCTGAGTTCGCTGCCAGTGGGCCACAGCGGCTTCTGGTCGTTGCGTGCGAGGCCGGCGTTCTGCAGCACTTCGCCCGCATGCTGCTTCTTGAGCAGCCGTGCTTTGGGTTGTGGCCCGTGCCCCACATGCTTCGGCAGCAAGTGTGGGAAAAACACCCTAACCGTCGCATGGTGTTCTGCTTTGGACACATGTGGTATCGCAACCAACACAAGGATAAAACATCAGTGTGGCGATTTGATTTCTCAATTGGTCGTGGCTGTGGTGTTGTTTTGTTGGCTGAATATCTATAATTGGTACTTTGTCCACTCCGACTCAGGGCGGAGGGCCTTGGAGGGGGGGTTCGCGGAGCCGCAAGGAGCGTTCGGCACAAGGCGCGCTGGGCGGTGACATTGAAGAGGCCCCACCAGCGGAGGCACCACCCGGCAGCAGCCGCTGTGCGGACAGCAGATGGCGCACGCCGCTCACGGAGGCGATCGAGGTGGCGCACGAAGGCGAGACTTATCCGAACCAGGCAACTGGCGATTGAACTTGGATCTAGCATTAGCATTGGAATCCTTGCGTTCCAGCTGCCGCGGGCTCTTTCACTCGCGCGTCACAACGCTACCATTCATGGCGCGGAAGCTGCACACGAGAAACACCACGCGGGGTGCGATCGCTTGTCGTCTAGGCTTCTTCTTGGTCCGCATTTCCCCCAAGTCGAGTGAAAGCGAGCGGGGAATTGATGAACGCGTCCTGGTCGTCAGATTAGCATTTTTGATCATATTTACTTGGTATCGGATTGGTATCGTGCCAAAACAAAATCCACCATCTCTCCCTCTCTCTCTCTCTCTTTCTTTCTCTCTCGTCTTTCAGACGAGCCCAAGGGTGCAAAAGGTTCAGTCCACAAAGGTTGTCCTGGACCGGCCAGGTCACGCCGTCGCGCAGGTGGAACATTGGCCAAGGAAGGAGTTGTGAGGAAGCATGCACTACCAACAGAAGCTGACCCTGCATATGCACTACCTGTGGAACTACCTGTGGGAACAGGAGAGTCATGCCTTGCAACTGGACCCACGAGTGCCGTTCGCAGCGTCATTCAGTCGCGAACGCTAGCGCCGCTAGCGCAATGAGTGCACAAAGAGAGGCTCCACGAAGGAATCGGCAAAGAGAGGCTCCATATAGTTTCCGCCAACTGAAGGGAGCAAAATTGAGAAGAGGAAATGGCGGAAGACACAAGTCGCCGGCTGCCTCGAAGTCAGCCATTCAGCGCAGGGTGCAGATCCAAATCAACACACAAGGCCATTCTTGCCAACGATATCGTTGGCGGCGAGTTTGCGCCGCGTATGCTGCAGGAGCACACTCGTTCACTACACGGCAAAGTGAATATCTGTCCAGGACCAACGAGTTCATCGAGAGGCTTCGATGAAGGATCGCTTGCAGCTTCAAACGCCGAAGGCTGGCGCTCGTGGGACCGCGAGCTGACGGGGCACCAGGCGCGCAACGCACTTCAACTCAGATCGACTGAAGGGTGGTTTGGGGCCGCCACTTGTTGCGAATGTCCTCTCCCAACTTGTCCCGAGCGGCACGGAGACCCTTTAGGGTATCCATGTCCTCAGTGCTCAGTGATATAAACACTATGTCACCTGTGTGTGACTATGACAAAACTGTTCTGCAAGGAGTTTTAGACTCAACTGCACTCTCTTGACATGATCGCCAAGAAACGTTGACTGGTACTGGTACGATGTCACTACAGTAAATTGTTCAGCAAAAGTGTGGGGTGATTTGTTGATGATGTCCTATCATGTTCAAACCGTTTAGCTGCGTGCCACCTGTCTGCAAAGCACAGTTCTCCCTTTTCCTCCAAGTGCACTCACCGCCATGTTGACAGCTGCTCACTTCTTCACAGTTTTGTTTTTCTTGAAGGACGTCTTTATCTTCTTGTACCTCAGGAAGCACGCTCTGTTTGCGGTGTAAGGTCTGCAAGGTCTGCCAAGTCTGGAAGGTCTTTGGGGTCTTCATGATCTTCAGAGGTTTTCCTTGAATTCCACACCATCTTTGTCAATTCCTGATGCATCGTGACGACCTGAGGTGTCAACTTCTTCAAGGCCATCTCCAGGAGCTCGGGTCGGTTCCACGTCGCTCCAATGATCTTCGGTCGGTCGGTCCCGGCTCGGTCCCACCCGACCGACTTGGGACTCGAGCTCGGGACGAGTCGTACTCAAATCCGCTCCGACGTTCATGGCCCATCTTGACAAATACCAAAACCAATACGTTTAAATATGTCCGGTGTTAACGAGCAAACCGTGCCTTCTTGAGCTGCTCTGGGCCCTGCTTCTTGCCTTGCCGGTGAGTGTTTGTCAAAGTTTACAGCTTTGAACACACGTCTCTCCAACCGCTGGAAAATTCTCTATCAGACGCCTTTCTTGATGCCAGTGGTCACCAGCACAACGCCGGGGCGGTACTGCCTGAGACGTTCGATACTTGTGACACATCTCAACAGAAAGACTCTGCACCTGGATTCTCTCTTGCTTCGTGTTGTTAGGACAATCGACTCCTCACCAAGTGGCAAAGGAGAATGAATGGAGTTCAAATGATTCAAATGGGTCAAATGTCAATTAGGTTGGAGGCCATCGCTCTTAGGTTGAAGGCCATCGCTATTATTGATTCATTGAGTTCAATGGGTCGCAAGATTTGGACTGTTGCACTGTCGCTGTCGCTTGCTCCTTCTTGCCGACCTTCTTGGAATCCAGCCCAAGCACCTTCTTGGATGCGAGGCCACTGAACCTGGGCCACAAGTCATCAAAGCACAGTCGGTCTTTATCTGCTCGATGCTATGGGACAAAACGTGAAACAAACATCAACTGAGCGATCAGCTGAAAGTTGTTCAATCCGCAAAGATTTCCTGGCCACCCAAAGTTTTTTACCCCAACAACAAGTGGTTTTTTCTTTCATGGTCCAAATCCCTAATCATGCATCCACAGCGCCCCTCTCCTGGTTCAGCTGTCATGACCGGAAAGTTTTTCTGTTTGCGGATGAAGCATGACTGATTCCTAAGACCGCGTCGAAGGAAAGCACTGCACAACATTCCATCTTGTGAACACCGAATGTGTTCAGACTGACTCAGATCGTGGCTTCACACACTGCCAAAGAAGATCTGGAGCCGCCATCGCTCTGCTATCTATGTCTGTACACGGCGGTCCGAGGCCACTACCCCTTCATCACATGGCGGCAGAAACACAAAATATTTTCTGAACCGTCCCGCCCCCCCCCTTGTTTAGACAATGGCACTTCCTTGGAGCCTGACCTGCTTGAACTTCTCCACTTTCTTGCCATCTTTGCTGTCAAGCCTCTTGTTTATGGTTGCTAAGATCAGAACCACTAGAGTTTAGAGTCTACTAGGTCATCGAGACGTGTCATTGATCCTTCAGAACACGAAGCCATTCGATCACCAAATCCTCGTGGTGCCGCCGTGCCGCCTTCGCTCCGTGCGGTCCAAAGATCGTTCGGCCCTGAGGATCGCGGCCTGTGACATGCGATCTGGGTGATCTGCAATCTGCGGGTGATCTGCGAGGAAGACCCACAAAAACTGCAGTGCAAAGGTGGCTCACCGAGTTTCAGTTTCATGCTCTCCACCTCAACATCCAGTGCATGCTTCTCCAACTGCTTCTTCATCTCACCCAACTCAGCGGTGCGCCTGACCAGTGCAAAACATCACCCTCTGCAAGCACGGAAAGTCAGCACAACAAAACGCCTCGAGAGGCAATCTTCTGACCTGTGATTGGCCCTGTTCGTGTCCTGACAGGCTCTTGGAATTGTATAGCGGAGTCACAGTGGAGTCACACATTCAGCCGCTAGAATCAAAGTGGCGGCCTGCTTCACTTTGAAGATTGTCTCCAAGCTCTTGTTGCGGTGGCAGCTGCATTTCTCCAAAAGCTTGAGCGTGTCCTCCAGTCACTCAACAAATTCCAAGAATAAATTCGGCCGTATCATTAAATATGCCGACGAAACCGACGTTTAGGACAACAGGACAACAGGACAACTACCGGCGAAGACAACCTAAGAAGAAACGCTTGGCCGCTTGGAGCCTTCTCTTGGCGATCTTTGTGGGACTTCTTCGCTTGAAGCTAGAGAACTTGTTGAGGGTGAAAACCAACGAAGTCCTATATAAAGCCATGGTAGGCACGTAGTCCATTCTATTCATTCTGATGGCTTGAGGATGGTGGCTTCATCATCTCAAGATTCCACTACTGAGAAAACTGCACTTCTCCCGACAGGTGTCAAGTGTGCTTGTATGGCGTACATGAGTGTCGTGCTTCCGGGTGCTAAGTTTTGGGGTTTGGTAGTGTTCAGGAAGTTGGAAGTAGGACAATGCAGTCCGCAATCAGCTCTTTGGAGGCTTGTTCTGCACGCTTTTGCTCCTGAACAGAACGACGGTCAGCTTCTCTCCCCCCTTGTCCAGGCATGGTGTCCATGTCACAAGTCTGGAGTCTGAGCCAACGGCCTCAGGAGACAATGTATGAGACTTTTTCTCATCATTGGTCAGCGGCGGCTGCGCCTGCAGGGGGGGCCGCCCGAGCAGGGGGGGTGTCTTGAAAGAAAGCACATCCAAAAAGAGGCCACTGGGTTCTGGGGGTGCAGGTCCTTGCAAGTTCACTTCAATTCGCACCACTGCAATGAAAGCGCTGCTTGCCTCTTCAGTTTCCTTGGGTGCCTCCAAGAAAACCAAGCAAAAGGCGGCTCCAAAATCTGGGACAACATTCAATCAAAGTTCGTGGCAAAAGGATGGGCCTCCTCGGCCGGCTTTGGATCTTTGCCTGCCTCCTTCGCCTCCTTCACTTCCTTCCCCTCCTTTGCCTCCTTCGCCTCCTTTCCTTCCTTTGCATCCTCCTTTGCCTTTCCCGCTTCTTTTGCCTCTTTGGCCGCCTCTTTGGCCACCTCCTTCGCCCCTTCCTTCACCTCCTTTGCCACTTCATTGACAGCTTCCTTCACCTCCTTTGCAGCATTGCCAGTACTTCCCTCTGCTTTAGGGTCCTTCTCCTCTGCTGGCTTTGTCTGACAAGCATGGCTCGTTCCGGGGCGAAGCAAGTCGGGCATGCTGTTGGTGCTGCTGTGCATGCACATCACAATGGACCACGACAGGGAGAGACAGACAACAAACAGACAGACACACAGACAGATAGATTCAGATAGATACGTACATGGATCATGTCCAAGGTGGATGCAGAGGTGGCTGTACGAAAGGACACTGATGGCTAAACGACTGGAGACCAAAGTTTCAGCACTGACACCTTTCTGGGAAAGCCTGCCGCAGCCGCTTTAAGACAATGTGTATAGCAGTTGTCACCGCACTGAAATTGCTGTATGTCCCTTCACACCTAGACTTCCGATGTGTCCCTTGTGGAGGCACTTGTGGCCATATCCTCCCACACCTTTGCCCAACAGGGCAAACAACTGTACGCCTTCATGAAAAATCCCTGCACGTTTGACTTAGGCGTTCCTACCTCTTGCACTCGGCTGGCACTTGTCCACACCCGGGAGAGAGATAGAGAGAGGTAAAGGAGAGACCAGAAAACGATAGATGTTGAGAAGAAAACACCGCGGCACTCAAGTCCAAACTAAAATGTTTGATGACCGCATTGCCCACGATTTGGACAATTTGCAAGGTCGAGTCTGGCCTCCCCATTCTCTGGCGCTGCCTGACACATGGAAGCGAGATCGGAACGTCGGAGCTCACGCAAAGCGATAAAGGCCAGAAGCCTTTATACAAAAATTCGCGTCAGCCTCGCCAAAGGCAACTTCAGCTTCGTTCTTCTCGTTGCTCTTCTTTGGACTACCGTTGTTGGCCTGGTGAAAAATGGCGTTTCGACAGACCAGTCCTCGTGGGTCACGGCGGGCGCCTTGGGAGACTTCACCGGTGGAAGGGCGACCTGAGGCCTCAGAGCGTCTCGCGCTCCGCATTTCACGGGGTCCGGTCGGTCCCGTTCGGTTTCGGGCGACAAGGTCTTCATATCCTCCATCATCTGGAGGCGCCTCAGAGCGGATGATACACCATGGTCTCATTGCAGGATCCGTTGCAGGAAAATAAATGCTTCTAGGTTGGAGGCCATTCCTATTAGGTGGGAGGCCATCGCAATCATGGTCTTAGTAAAGGGACACCTATAGTCAACACCCCTTCGCAACAATGCCCTGTCTGGATGGCACGCTCAAGAAAGAAACAGTCTCGAAGTCCTCCTGGTACCATCAGCCACTAAGTGGAAGGCCGAAACCCGGTGTCCTCTGACAAGAACTTTCGCTTGTCCCTGCAAGAGCTTCAAATAGTTTTCAAAGGCAACATGTCATTGCTCACAGGGATGAAAATCAGGAAATCTGCTAGTTTGTCAGACCGTCAACGCCTCAGCTCATCCACAATCTTCTTGCCCTGGCTCTCCAGTTCCAAAAGCTCCTCCAAGTGACAACCCCATGCCGTGTCGAGCATAGAAGCACCCGTGACCATAGAGACCAGCCTTGCGCGCTTCTTCCAGGATCCCCTTTTCAGAGTTCAGGGCCTCAGAAACGACACAGTACGTGCCAATACTTACAGGGCACAAACTATTCAATAGACTTTCCCTCGGTTCTCCCCTCTTGATGCAAACTGAGCAATGGACGTCTGTCAATGCCTAAGTCTAAGTAAGGAGGACATCTCTACATTTGCTTCCTGTGCTTCATTCCGTTCATTCAATCAATTTCAATGCCTAAGTAATGATCTAGGTCCTACTAGGTGGTTCCTTCCCAAATTTCATGACTACCTGGGCGCCTGGCATCTCGAAACTTCTCCGGCTCAGGCCGCTTCTGTCGCAATTCTAGGCGACGCTCACAGACCTGTTACGAATCCAATCGTCAAGAAGAAGAATAGGTTTATTAGAACATTGACAGTGTAACCATGACGATGAGAAAAACCGGAAGAAAAAAAACGGGCTTTTGCGAATGCTTCTCATCTTCGGTGACATGTACGGTGACACGAACAATTTGCCGATCGGCCTGCAAATTGGCAAAGCCTCTGTATCGCTCGTGGGTCAGCTTGCTGAGGCTGTCCTGGGAGCATGTCTTGGGCACGACTGGAAAACCAAATAGCACATCAAAGACAAAGCCATGGCCTCTGTCTGCAGGATGCAATCCTCAATGTCCTGGAGCAGCTTCAGGGAGCCAGAGTCACAATGTCTTGAGCAGTCAGAGCCCAGCCACAGAAAAAGGGAGTGGCGGGGTTGGCTCCCGCGGGAAGAATGGCCCCAAATACATGGGTTGCAACAAAGAAACAATAAAGAAGCAAAGAAAGCACAACGCACAACTACATTCTGAGCCACAGAATCTCCATGATGAGATTCAGCTCTGCGTCCTGCATGCATTTGAATGACGTGGCGATGACCTTCTCGTGCGCAGCAGCCTTCCGGTCGGAATTCTCAACACTCAACACACCCAACAAACGACCTCTGCCCAAACAAGCAGTCAAAGTTCTTATCTTCCTTAATCTCAGGGGCCTTGTTGAACACTGCAGCTTTCTTAGCCTCCTTCTCTCTCTTTTCCTGGGCCAGCAGAAATACAGCTCAGCATCCACTTGTCCCATACACTGAGCTCAGTGCTGCATCTTGAGCTGCTTCTTTGTTGGCGGCCTGCAGTCAGAGTGGTTACGATTATACTGTGTATGCATGTGTGTAAATATCTATCTATCTATCTATCTGTCTATATATATATATTTTTTGTCTATATATTTATTTAGTTACAGTATTTGTTTACCGTATAGATAATTTTTATATATATATATATTGTACTATATCATATCTGTCCGTGTCATTATCACCATTGTGGTCGAAGGCGAAGAATTAAACGGCAAACGAAGTGCCAAACTTACCGTCAAAGCAACTCAAGTGCAACGTGCTGATACCAGGAGCCCCTAGTAATTAGCGTCCTTGCTCCTAGTAGCGATGCCAGGAGCTCCTAGTAGCTTCTTGCTCCTAGTAGTAAGGCCAGGAGCACCTCTGAACCTCAGGTTCAGACCTCGGCTACTTCATTGTTGCGCACAATGGTCAGCATGTCACGGATGAGGTTCCGTGCCTGGCAGGTGCTGTCACACCTCGTAAATGAATACAAGTGGATGACACGCCAGTGCGGACTGCATGGACCTGCCCCAAGGAAATCAAAGAGTGGGAGGTGCACCTGCATCATATTCTTCTCGGATGACTCGATCCATTTGCCCTTGCAGCGATCGACAATGCTCAGGAAACATAAACTTGCTATCAAAAAGAAAATGTGTCTCCTCTGTGTTCTTCTCTGTCCCACCCGTTGCCTGATTTGCAGGCGATGTAGGTTCTGCCGGCGGATTTTCAGCCTTTTCGCCAGCTTCTTCAGCCTTCGGTTCTTTTGGTGTGTCCTTGGGGTCCTTCTTCGCCTTGCACGCCCACATGTTTGCACAGCGACCCACTCCTTCGGTTTGCTCGTACTAGCCTTGTCCTCCGGCATGTCGACTAAATCAGCCACTCTCTGGAGGCACTACGAACGACTTGAGTTGGCCAATGGCAACGCAGTATCATGCACACAGAGATCCACCTTCCGAGACCGAGACAATAAACTCACGCAATCAAAAAAAAGGAAAAGCCAATGATGAAGATTGATGATGAAGTTCTATTTGTAGTGGGAGCCGCAAAACCTTTTCGGACCACGCTGTCCATCCCCTATGCTAAAAGAAGTCAACTGGCTTCATGACACCAATTTCACCATCTCCAAGGTTCAGATCATCTGGCTCCTGGGTCGTGGGGATACGATGTCAGAAACATTCCACAACAAACACAAGTCGGCACCACTTCCACTTTCATCACAGCAGGCTTGACCTCCTCTGGTGGAGTTGCCATGCAGGAATCTGGCAGGGGAGCATCCGGTGGGGTAGCTTCACCGGTGAGCTCGGGCTCAACTCCTGGCAGCGAAAAACATTTACAAGAAGACAACTGCCTCATCGGATATCTCAGCGGCTCATTTGTTAAGCGAGCAACAAGCAAATACACACACATTCATGGTATATATATATATATTGTACTTATCACTTGGCTCCAGTCGCCTTTGGCCGGCTTTGCTGCGCGGGCAGCCTTTTTGGCAGCTTTAGCTTCTTTGGCCGCTCTCTTTTTTTGGTTTCGCTCCTGCAAGGGGATTGACCCCAAAACTTTTCCGGGCCAGTTTCTGTGAGGTTCAAGCTCTCGACACCATTTGCATGATCTACTTGAGTCTTCCCTTTTCTCCAATGCATTTCTTTGCATGATTCTCAATGACATGCATCTAATTTTGCAGCTCCGAATTGGACTATCTTGTTGTAAACAACTAGCTGCTAGCTCAAAAGCTGGCAATGTCCTCAGCACCGAACCGGTGTGTTTGCAAATTGGCTCTTGTGCATCCCCACGTCACTTCCATAAGGCCTTGGACGACTTCCTCTTCTGATCGGAGACAGCCCGAAGTCAGTGTCCCGACTTTCCACCGGCCCTGAGAAGCGGCCAGAGGACGAGGGAGGCAGCACTTCGCGAGGAAGAGTGCTGTAGCTGTTTCGGCTACTGCTCGCAGGACCTCGCTCTCGCTGTGGAGTCGAGGCACGCTCAAAGGCATCACGGATCTCCTTTACACAGCCACTACGTGGTGCATCAGTCAAATTCTCTGTGTTGACTGGAGTGTTGACTGGAGTGACAACGGCCGAGCTTTCGGAGACTTGTTTCTGTACTGCTTGAGCTGCTTCTATTGCATATCGCTGTTCTTTGTGCTCCTTCTCCGATTTCGGATGTGACAAAGACTCAAGCTTTTCAAGCTTGCCTGATGCCACCTCTAGTCGTCCTTTTAGCTGTGCGACTTCTTCTTGCAAGTGCTTCTTCTGCCTCCGTTCCGCTCCAAGCTGACCATCCAAGTCATGGACTTGTGCCTCCAACTTGGCCAGAGATTGGTTAAGTTGGCCAATGGTCTTCTGGTCCTCCTCATTCTTCCTCTCAAGGCTTCGAAGTTTCTCTTCAAGACTTGCCTTCTCCCGCTTCACGTCGGACACATCTTTCTGAGCCAAGTCGGCTTCAAGTCGCTTGGACTCGACCGGTGTTTGCCTGGCAGGGCTGGACAAGCTGATGTCGGGCTTCTCGCTCGGTGTGATGCGGACACAGGATCCTGGAAACCAACCTGTCTTCATCTCCTTCCCTTCTAGATGTCCTCCCCACCATCCTGTCTCATCTTGCTCCAAAATGATGACTATTTCATTCACCTTCAAACTAAGCTGGGAGTCGTCAGTGGCATCATGCTTCTTGACCACAATGGCACGAAGGTAGCACTCGGGCTCGCCGTAGTATGAATCCATGGAGGTCTCCATCTCTTTCTGTGCGAGCTTGGATGAGAACCAGTGAGCTGACAAGGTCTTAGTTGCACTACATGGTCTGCTATGTTATTTTGTGCTGAACTTTCGAAAGTCTGAGTTTATGAACAAATCAATCTGCACGCAACTGCATACCGCCAATTTGACCTCGTGAGCCACCATCTGATGACAGCATGCCAAACTGACTCTGCAGCTTTTGACATGTATGCGAAAAATGAGGAGGCGCATTTTAGTAGGCATGGTACACGAGCCACAGAATCACGAGGACCGGAAGGGACAAAACAAAACCCTTCTTAAGTTCATTGAACTATGGGAGACTAACTACCACTCAAAATAAGCATTTACAATGAATGCAAAGTGTGCTGCAAGTCCTGTTTCTTCCTCCGCTCTTCTTCCTTCTTAGCAGCTGCCTGCGCTTTTTCTGCCGCCTCAGCTGCCTTACGCTCCTGGCACTGGAGAAGCCAATGCAATAATAATATATGGCCTTGTCTTTCCATTGCAACAATTGCCCTGATTGTCTTGCCATTGCAACAATTGCCCTGATTTTTTCTTTCTTTCTTTCTTTGTGCGCACGGTGTCCTAAGACTCAGCGCCTTGCTGGTGTGAATTCTTAATTAGTAGCGGATTGAAATCGGGCCCTTCTTTACAGCGTTGATCCACTTCAGTGATGTGCATAGCCTTAAGCCAGTGAACATCAACTGGTGGGGGGCCCGATCTCCGGGTTGCACCTGACATCCATCGATCGAACATCTTGGCCAAGAAACAACAAAAGTCTCTCGGATATTCTTTGAGTGAACTGGTAGCCCAGCCGCGGTCTTCCAATCCGATCGATGAAGTTTTGGGACAACTGGATGTCCTACTCACCTTCTCTAAAGCCGAAGTTGTTTCGGCAGGGAGTCCGGCTACGAGTAGGTTTGTCGGTTTGGCACTTTTAGCGCCGAAGTGTCCTTGCATAACTCTCAGATGGTGAAAGAGCTCCGCTTGCTCTAGCCATTGCATCAGAGCCGTGCCCCAAACACTTGGCGCATCCTTTTCTGCTGCTGTTCTGGTCGCCTGCTGCGCCTGCATCATAGCCAACTCATCCTGCCCATCATCAATCGGGGTTGCAGTGTTGTCCCCATATTTCGCGTGTTGTCGACTATTGACAGGAAACAGCAATGGGAAACTTTCACACACTCCTCGTGCTCCCTCCGTGACGATCTTAACCAAGTCTCCATGCTTCCATTGCTTGCCAGAAGACTTCTCTTGAGATCTACGAACACTATGCTTATGGTCGAAGGCACAAGCACAAAAGGAATGACATTGACTTTGTTCTCCTTGATCACTCCCACACGTGTTGTGAACAAGCAAGGCAGGTGGGCCCTGCCCATCGAACACAAGGAAGTGCCAAGACTCTTGGTACGTATATAGAGCTGGCTGCGGCCAGACAAGTCGGAAGGAGCAAGAACTCGCTGTCAAGTAATCCCCCCAAACTGAGCAAACCACCTCTCCAATTCGGCCGAAATCTTCTACCGAGACGACCAAATCCCTCGGCTGACTGTTGCACCGATTCAGGGGTGCAAACCATGTCTTAGCTAGAAACGGACGATCTTGGAAGACAAGGTTCTCAGCTTCTTTCCGGCGAACCGACCTGTCCCGGCCAACATCGGTACCTAGAGGCTCTTGTGTCCTAGGATCGATGACAAAATTGCCCAAAAATGTTAGCCTGTCGTCTCCATGAGTCACCGAGTAACTAGATTCAATGTCAGAATCATGATCAGGACCATTCATGGACGAATGGCTGTGGCCTTCTTCAGTTCCGTCAGGAACTATAGTTCTACTGTCCCCTTCACAAGGCCAGGAAAAAGGACTAGTTTCATATTCGCAAAAGGTGGCCTCTGGTAGGGCACTTCCTCCTGCCGCGTGACCTGTCAGTGCATCTATGCTATGTTGACCTAGGTCCGTTCTCTGTTCAATTGGGCTCCAGGCTGAGGCCCTCAAGCTGTCAGGATATTGCTGGATGCTCTGCAAAGGATCACACAAGACGGAATTGTCACGATGATACTGTCCGTCACTATCATTGACTGCATGAACTGAGCTCCGGTTGCCAGCGAACATAGCACCCTGTTCACAAGCATGGGAAACTTGAGTGGCATGCGAACTCGCTATGTTGAGGCACATGAGGATAGCTTTCAGTTTAATGCTTTGAGGTTTAGGTCGAATCGCACATTTGCGAGAGTTGCAGACACTTCTGCAAGGACCTATACTATCACACCTCCACTTCAGCCCAAGTCTCACGAACAAAAGCAAAAAGGCTAGCTCTGCTTGGACCCTGATTATCACCGAAAGGTAGTCTGGCTGGATATGCACACCGCCACTGACTAGTATTTGGCACGTCACCACTTGAATTGCAACCAGTAGAACATACCCCAAAAGGATCCACTGGATGAGCTTGCTTCTTTGATCAAAACCCCTAAGAGGTCGACCCCTGAGCAAGGAATGCATCAATGGACATGTTCGTCCAAATGCCGTGCAGAGTGCGCACAAAAACAATGTACTTACCCCTGCAAAAAAGTTCAGATGCAATCGACTATCCCGAAAAGATGTCTCCGCAACTGTTCCATTGAACTCATCTAGCCAAGGCAGATTTTCGATTCCGATAGGCGCCCGGCCCTCCGGAAATCTATTCCACTCGAAAGCTGGCTCATGAAGGTCGGTTGCAGTCAATTGGCAAACCTCTGTACCCTTCCGAATGCTGGTTCGATTCCCCTTCAGCCCTTGAATGCATGTCGCCCCTTGAAAATTGGCGCCGAACGCACCTTCAGGGAGAAGTTCATATTGCATCAAACCATGATCGGATCCGTACCCAACGGACTTCTCGCCTCCACTATGTTCGGAAGGAGGCTTATAAGCTTGGCTTCTCACCTGTCGAGCCTGTCCAAAGAGTTGGAGGGCTCTCTTCGGGGACTCCGTGATGTGCTCCTTGAGCGAACAGGAACAGGAATGGTTTGTTCCAACACCGCTTTCTCGGCTGCCGTCAACAACTTGGCGCGAGCTGCTCTGGCGGCCACTTCGTCTGGGAGAGTTCTCACCAACGCTGTTTGCGGAGGCCGCGTCAGCTGAGGCGAAAGGTCGTTCGCCATTCCTTCCGGCCTTGTCATCTCCATTGCCCCAACATAGCTGTCGACCCGCTGCTGAAGATTTCTCATGATAGCGTGAGTACGCTCGAGCTCCCTCTTCAGTGCTTCTTTCTCCGCATCCTCGACTGCCATGTTGTCTCCTCCATCTGTTTCTTTCATCACAACTTTGTTGAGCTCTTTCTGGGCTTCTGAGAGAGCGTCTTCCAGAGCTAGCAAGTCTGAAGCGTGCTTCTCCTTCTCCTTCTTTCGATGAGCCTCCATTGCATCCAGAAAAATGCTCCACGCCTCCTTCTTCTCGGCTACCTTCTGTTTCAACTTTTCGATCCTCCCAATGATCTTCCTTTTGAGATTCAAGCTCCTCTGTTCTGACTTGATCTCTTCCATGGTGTTGGAGTCGCTGTGTAGTAGTTCCACAATGTGTGGATCCACCGGGATGTCCTTTGCCGCAAGGAATTCTCGCATTTCCTTTTTGATCTCCTGGACTTCCTTGGATTCCTTGGCTGCAGAGGAAGACGAGGATGACTGCAAAGACTCGTAAGCCGGAAAGGCATCCTCTGCCTTTTCGTTCTTCTTTGCACTCTTGTCTGTCTTCGCTTCCTTTTTGGGCTTCGGGCCTTTCGGCTGCCCTTGCTGCTGCCATTTGCTCCACCATGGCTTCCCTTGAGCTCCTTTGTATTGACCTCCCCATCCCATGGGTCGAACGAAACTGTGGTGCTCCTGCAAAATGCGTCGAGCCCTCACGAGCCGTCCTTGAAGGTCCTTAGACAGGTGGGTTGTCTTCTTGGCCTGCCGAACTAGTCCTCTTGCCTTTGCTCTGCGAGAGCGTAGGCGCCGGTGCCAGCTGGGGCTTTTTTCTCTTGGTATAGTTGCGATTCAGCGCAAAGTCGCCGCTGCCAACCCCACCACCAAGCAGCAAACCACTATGGCTATCCGCAACGCGCGTAAAGACGCCGGTAAAATCGAACCCAAAAGAGGGTTCTGGGGCCCAATGTACGCACCGCTGATGGTGCGAGTTGAGCCCTAATTGCCCTGATTGTAAAAAAGCAAATCCCTTGAACTTCTACCTGCTCTAATATTTTGACACGGATCTCCTGGCGTTTCTGTTGGATGCGCTTGATGCGAGCTTCATCCTCCGCGTCTGCCACTGCCTTAGCAGCTGCTGATGCTTCTGCAGCAGCCTCTGCATCTATCTCTGGTGCTGCCGGTGCTTCTGGTGCTGCCTCGCTATGGGTGGCACAAGAGACAAGCAGCCCAGCTGGTACAGGAGAGCAATGCGAGAAACCCTGTTGATGGGGAGTACGCGCCTGGACAGGTGGCGGCAAATCTGGTGCGTCCTCCGCATATGCAGTACCTGTCACCTGCGATTCAAGCAGGTGCGAAACAAACTCTCTCTCTCTCTCTCTCGCTCTTGTGAAAATACATGTTCCCCATTCCTCATACATGGTTTCTCTCTCGTACTATGGCTCTACAGGGCCCTTGAGTTAGTACAATAGAGATCTTACAGGGTAGCTGAGCTGTGATTCCTGGCAACAAGCATAACAAGCATACATACAGACAGAGTACACAAACAAGAAGGAAGCGTACAAACATGGCCTCAGCATCAGCAACAGGAGATAGAACCAACATCACGAGCATGCACAAATAAAAAATACCAACGCCTCATGGAAGGTACAAACGATGACACCCAGAAACGCAAATGGGTACAGCTCAGCAGAGACATACGCTACGTCCTCGTGGACATTTGTCAAGCACCAGCAGTTACACTTTACAGACAAAACAGTCTACATGGCGGTGGCCTGGAAACATGGCGACAGCTAAATCTCCGCTTCGCCATACCCACTGGCACACGATCAGTCGGGTACCTCACAAAGCTGCTCAAACCACAGTTTGATGCGAACAAACTCGAGGATACCTTCAGGTCATGGGAATTTGAGGTAGCACGGTAAGGAAAACTGCACACTCATCTCGGACAACGTCAAAATTGCAATTGTCCTCAATGAGACAGAAGGAGCACTACAGCAATACTTATCAACACACATTATATATATATAATATATATATATGTATGTATACGGTATACGGATTATACGGAGCTCAAATCTCTCATCTCATTTTGGAATACCCCGTGCAGCGGCCTCATTCACACGCATGCAACAGAAGCAACAATGCGCCCCTTCATCACGAGGTCCAGCACCCATGGAGATTGGAGCAACATACAAAGGACATAAGTAAAGGAAACAAAGGAAAGGAAAAGGGAAGCATGAAGGCAAAGGAAAGGGATACAATCAAACACATGGACAAGGATACAGATGTGGCTACCAGTACCAACACAGCAAAGGCAAAGAAAAGTATGGCAGCAATCCATTGACAACAATCAGGAAAAGGCTACGGATACAACAACTCGAGCACAGGATACTCACAGAATGGTTGTGGCAAACAAGGGTGTAGAATCACACTCTATGCTAACAAATGCAAAAGCGGCAGCAAACGAAAGCAATCGAATGTTTCATGCGTAGCATGGCTGAAGGCCTATACAGTTCCGTCAGGGAGATTGGGCCGAGTCGGCCCCGAGAGAAAACAAGGTCATGCCTTCCATGTCGACTCTGGCTTTTCACATTCATCCAATTTCTTTTGTTGCTTAGAGGGGGCTTCTCCGAAAAGCTGAGTCGACCTGGCATGAAAGAAGGTCACGAGAATGCCGGCGGCACAAGTGAACAGCGCATGCTGGTTCGACAACTCACTCATGTCGACATCGGCTTCCAGCCTGTGCCAGAAATGCTGACCATCGCGGCTGAACCGAGCGAAACTTGATCGCGAAGGAAAATCAGCCGCACTGAACCGTGGCTCGGGCGTTCTAAAGGATTTGGCGTTGTACGCCACCTGGATTCCCATGCCGGCCTGAAAGTGCCAACCTCGCTTCTCACCTAAGCTCAGAAGGTCGGGCAGCAAAGGGTCATCTCCAGTCAGTCTCACTCCAGGAAGTTCGGCGCTTGCCGATGTCACCGAAGGCTTGACATTCTTGGCCTTGAAGACCTGCTTTTGGAACTCAGGGGCATAGGAAATGCTCCAATGGCCATCATGGAGGATGCACCTCATGTGGTCAAGGCACATCATCTTGGTTCCTCCGTCAGCGAACATGTTGGAGGTCGCTGTCCATTTGAGCGCCGTGTTGAGACGGCGAAGCACACTCCGCAGCCAAGCGATCGTGAATGCCAGGCTCTTTTGAGATCCAAACGACGCTGTGTCGCTGTTGGTCTGGTCGAAGACGTCTTTCGCGTCAACAACTCCAGTCATCTTGATGCAATTCATGGAGGTGTCGGCTTTGGTCCCCAACATGTCCTTGCCCAAGATCGTGGCGAGGAAACCACGGCCAAGCTGGCCTGAATCCAACGACTCCTCAGCGGCCAAGGTCTCAGCAGCATATGTAGACCTGCAAACCCGCGGAATGCGGTGAGAGCGACTGTCCAGGATGTTGAAAGTTCCTGGCTTTCCGGAAACCAAGGCACTGTCTCCGAGCAAGATGAAGTAGCAGGCCCGAGAATACACTCGCTGCTGGGGAGTTCCTTCAGCTGATCCAGAGACTTGAACGTTCCCGAGAGCAGCATCTGATACAGCAACAATACCGGCCGTCTTGTAGTCGATGGGCCTGAAGATCATCTCAAAGGTGCCGGTTCGCTTGAACTCCTGCAGCAATGAGTTTGCTCTGATCGTTGTGCCAATGCAAGGCGGATGCTCGCCTTGGAGGGAGGACACACCAAAGGCGTAGTTGGGCTACCAACCACTGCATACTTCCTAAGACAGCTTGAAGTTGTCGATGCTCATGAGCGTCCAAAGGAGAGTCAGGATCGCTCTTGCGATGCCGCGGAATGAAGATCTCCTTCAGGTTCTCGTGGTACTCGACCATGCTCAGGCGGACGGTGCCGTCACTGGCTCTTCTGATGCGTTTCCCGCACCAAGTGAAGTCGTTGAAGTCCTGACTTCCGAAGCCGAGCTCAGCACCAATCTTCTTCAAATAACTTTCTGCCAAGGGGCTACCAGTGAACAGGAGGTCGTCCACGTGAGCAACTATCAAACCTTCCAAGGGCTTGATGCCATCATTCTTGGCAACTTCATCAGGCTTCCCCCATAGGCACCACATGGCGCCGTGTGACCATCCATTCTCCTGCAAACATCTTGAAAGGCGCAGCCACCACTCTCTGGGAGCATCTGCAAGACCAAATATGCCCTTGAGGACACGACACAGTTGCCCGGGTCGAAGAGGCAGAGGTGGACTCACCTTCGGGTTGGAGTTGCAGATGTAGAGCTCGCGATCGATGTAGGGATCACCTTTCAAGAAAGCAGCTTTCACATCACTGGAAATGATGCTCCAATGAGTATGGAATGCAGCCACTGAAAAAAGCACATGCTGGGCAAAACGAGATCCAGTTGGCGCATCGCGCCGGAGATTGCCCTCCAAATTCGTCCTGTCTTTGAAACCAGGCACGACCAAGCGTGAGGAAGCTTTCACTGGCAAAGGATTTGAAGAAGTTCGCAAACCATCATGCTTGTCGGTGCAAACAAAGCGAGGCACCAGGATGCGGTCGAGCTCCTTTCGCCGCGCAAGGTCACGGCGGACGTTGTTGGACTCCTCCATGGAGAGCACTTGAACAGCATTGTTGTCCACATAGGCACTCCATCCAGTGACAGCTGCATCACCCCAGAGCTTCTTCTGGTCTCGTTCATCTTAGACCAGACATACTCCTTTCTCGCACTCTGCACCGCGAGGGTCTCATGCTCAGGGACCATACCAGTAGGCAAAAAGGCGCCAAGCTTCTGAAGGACTTGCCGATCTCGTTCACAAAGGAAGCTCCAGCGGCCATCCCACGTGCCATGGTCCGGTTCGGCAAAGAGGTCACCGTCTCGCCGATCAGCGTCCACCATTGCTTGAACTCGAAGAAGAGGGTGAACATCCAAATTGGCGGCGAGGTTTTCCAACTCGGCATGAGTCATCTCGAGAGCCTCAAACGAAGGTCGAGCTGCGACCTCCTCGAGGGAGTCCTCGGCCGGGCGCTTGGTCCCGCGATCCATGGTTTCACGATCCACGGATTCTCCGTCAAGAGCACGTGCCCTCTCCAATGTTCAGGAAACACTTGCCGAGGGGGAAGTCAACCTCGACTGCGAAGCATTCAAAATCAAGCTAGGCACCGGAGTTCCCGGCGCTCAAGTTCCAGGTAGATCTGGAGTAGGGCCAACCGCTGAGAACGGCGGCGCTGAACTGCCCGGTGGTGCAGAAGGTAAGCCAGGAGGTTGAAGCGCAGCAACTATTTCTGAAGGCTGGAGGCTTGGAAGTGATGCCGGCGCAGAACCAGCGGGAATCAGCTCTTCTTCAGTATCTTCAACTGGGGATTCTTCCTGAGCCGCTTTGGCCTCAGCTTCACGACGAGCAGCGTTGATCACCTCGTCAATGGCGGCCTCCCAAGAACCAGCAGCAATGCTTTCCAATGAAGATGCCTTTCTCACATGCTCCACTGGGCACTTGGTCAACTGACCTCGGAAAGAAACAAAGCAATTTGCTGCAATCTCAGTTCCATGACGGCCTTCAATGGCCACGAGCAAACCAGGACCATGCCATCGACGAAGAAGTAGGCGTCGACGAGATCCAGCTCCAACATCCTTGCGAGACTGATACTTTTGAGCTCTCCAAAAGAAAACAAGGTCGGTCTCCCGGCTGGGGAGCATCTTCAGTCGTTGGTGCCCTCGACTTCGCAAGCTCTGCCTGTCTCAATCCGTGGCTGTAGTGGAGGCGGATCATGGAAAGTCTCGCGGTCTCGCGAATCGCCAAGAGCTTGCTCAGGTTGGGCTTTGCTTCAATAAGGCTGTGCTCGGCAAGGCGGGAGTTGAAGTGGTTCAGGACATCGCCTCCAGGCGAAGGAATCTTGCCTGTCACGAGCTGAATGGGACAGACTCCAGCTTCGTTCACATCGGCATTGTAAGATGCCACCGCTTCGCCCAATGCCAACTCCATCTCCTTCAAAGATGCGATGGCGTGCGTCTGACAAGTCGCACCAACCAGGGCTTTGAGGGTTGCCCCGGATCGCTCACAGACACCGTTCTGCCAAGGGGCACCGACACCAACATGGCACACATAGATGCCCTGCTCGTCACACCAATCGCAGAACTCAGCACTGATGAACTCGCGGCCTTGATCGGCCACCAGGGTGTGAGGTCGTCCAAGTTGACAGTCAAAAACTTGATCACTGAACTTGTGGACTTGTCCTCGAGCACCTGGGCAGCTTGAAATCTGGAGACATGATCAGTTGCGTGGGCCACCACATAGGGGTTCCGAAGTGAATCCTCCAAAACAACCAAATCAATGTGA